TAAAACTGATTTAAATACGCCCAAGAATTATTTTTTTAACTTTTGAAAATGTGGCACAGTTCAGATATTTGGGAACGATAACAGATCGAAACCTGATTCAGGAGGAAATTGAGAGGAGATTGAACTCGGGCAATGCTTGCTACCATTCAGTCCAGAGCCTTTTGTCTTCTCGTCTGCTGTCCAAAAACATACAAATTAGAATATACAAAACTATAATTTTGCCTGTGGTTTTGTATGGGTGTGAAACTTGGTCTCTGACATTAAGGGAGGAACATAGACTGAGGGTGTTTGCGAACAGGGTGTTCAGAATATTTGGACCTAAGAGAGATGAAGTGACAGGAGGTTGGAGAAAACTGCATGAGGAGCCTCATAACGTGTACTCTTCTCCAAGTATAATTAGAATAATCAAGAGGATGAGGTGGGCAGGTCACGTAGCACGAATGGGGGAGACGAGGAATGCGTAGAGAATATTGGTGGGAAAGCCAGAAGGAATGAGACTACTGGGAAGACCAAGGAGTAGGTGGGTGAACAATATTAGAATGGATCTTGGAGAGATAGGATGGTATGGTATGGATTGGATAGATCTGGCTCAGAATAGGGACCAGTAGAGGGCTCTTGTGAACACGGTAATGAACCTTCGGGTTCCATAAAATGCTGGGAAATTCTTGAGTAGTTGCAGAATTGGCAGCTCCTCCAGAAGGACTCAGCTCCATGAGTAAGTAAGTAAGTAAGTATGTTTCATTGTCTACATTTCCAGCCGGCAGAGACATCTAGTGGTGACAACAGGAATGCAGTAGCGCTCGGCGGCTTTACACTGTGGTTCTGATTAGCTTAATGAACTGTCAAATCCAGCACAAATCCAAACATCTCCATATTAATTACACTTCGGTACGGCACGAGTCTACTAGGGGAGAAAGCTCTGTCATTTAGGAGGAAGTTAATACAGACGAACGGACTGAAGATAAACCTAGAGTCGGGTAAACATTTTATTGGGAACTAAAATTGGTGGAGACATGTCAATTTCAGGCTTTACGATTCGAAACGAGGAAATCAAAAAGAGTTTTCTTTTTTACAATAAATAAGTTAGAAGATACGACTCTATGAAATGAAAAATGAGAATAAATTGGTACATGATAATCTAAACGCTTCCTTTGACATTTCGAATAACCCAGTGACCCTTTGACTTTGATATTCATGTACTGCAGAAAAGAACTTATTGTTACAGCAATTAGCACTCTTAAACATCATACTGCTTAATCAGAAATTATTTTATAATTGGTAAGTGGTCGGATTTCGAGTCCCGGTAGGTTCAAGAATTTTCTCTTCTCCAAATTTCCCAGACCGGCTCTGGGGTCCACCCAACCTCCTATCCAATGGGTACCCTGGGATCTTTCCGCGGGATAAAGCGACCGGGTCATGAAGCTGACCACTCACCTCCAACTAATGCCGAGGTCAAGAAAACGTGAATCTATACATCCACTCCTCCATACGCCTTCATGGTGTAGTGCTTAATTAGTTAAGCACAGGGACAAGTTTACCTTACTTCATTATGTGTTCGAGGTATTGAAAAACGCTTCGGTTTTACATCACGGCTTGTCGATTTGCTTTTATTTCATGAGACCTTTTGAGGAAATCGATATAATTCGATTTAAGTTTCGTGCAAAGTAAGAGGGATGAGGTGACAGGAGCTTGGTGCAAACTACATAAAGAGGAGCTTCATAATTTTACTCTTCGCCAAGTACAATTACAAAGGCCGGGCAAGGCATGTAGCATGCTTGGAGAGAAGAAAAATGCATATAGGATTTTGGTAGGAAAGAGGCCACTAGGTAGGCCTAGACGTAGGTGGGACAATATACAAGAAGCAATCTTGGAGCAATACGAGCAGGACGAGGTGGTATGGAGTGAATTCATCTAACTCTGGATCACAATCGTCCGTAATTGAGACTGGTTCTTTCTAAGGGGCCCAACTGAGTAGGTGTCTTCCTTCCTCGCATGAAGACGGAAACACATCCAGTTCCCGAAACGTCGTGTTTTCTATCTCCTAGAATTCCGGACGATGGAAAAAGTCCAAAAACCCAGTAATTCTATGTGTTATCCACCATCGTCAGAACCCTTCAGAATCTACTTGAAATTGAAGTCAATTGAATTGAACTGCATAAGTGACATATTATCATTCAACTTGTCATTGAACTTTTTTTTTAATTCGCATAGTGAGGGGTTGGGGTCCAACTGGGTCCACTCGGCACGGCGGCCGCTGATTGGCCTATTGTAGCCTGCCCCGGGTGATTATGATGATAGAGAATTTGGTGGAATGAAGATTGGCAGGGGAAACCGAAGTACGCGGAGAAAGCCCGCCCCAGCGTCACTTTGTCCACCACAAATCGAACTTGACCAGACCCGGGATCGAACCCGGGCCGCATCGGTGGGAAGCCAGCGACTAACCGCTTGAGCCATGGCGCGGCCCCGCCACTGAACTTAATAAACTGATCAAGCGTCTATCAATTAAGAATCGAAATATTAGCGACTGCTTCAGTTCACATTGTTCTGATCTGTTTAGTTCCTTCGCTTAAATTGTGTCCACTAAGGTTCCACAAATGCCGGTCACGGTAGCTGAGCGGTCTAAGGCATGCACTGTCTTCGCTCGCTAGGAAGCCGGGATCGTGGGTCCGAATCCTACTCAGGGCATGGAAGTTTGTGTGCGTTTTTGTACAGGTAGAGGCCTTGCGACGAGCTGATCACTCGCCCAAGGAGTCCTACCGTATGTCTAAAATCTAGCAAACCGAAGTGAAACGGGCCTAGGCCCAAATGAGGGATGTAGCGTCAATGAAAAAAAAAAGGTTCCACAAGCAATATTCCCTGAGATGAAACATTGCTCTACCAAAACCATTAATTACTCAGCTAAGAAACAACTGTGGATGCAGAGGTTTGCGCTCGAGTGGGCCGGCTACAGAAAGTGCGGCGTCCAGTACAGTTGGCTACAGCCTACCGCGATACCAAATATCATCAGAAGCGACGAAGTGGTTTCAGAGATGAAACATTCAGTCGGGCTTAACTTTTCCAGGTTGGGTTCCTTTTATGAACGTTGTATAAAGAGCACACAATAATGTGTTTCATCAAAATATGGCGGCCGTGCGAAACCTGTACTATACGAACTATGGGCCCATTGTTCAAAATATTTCAAAATTACAAAAATTACTACTCCTACTGACCCCGACGATGATCATGAAGATGACGACAGCAACGATAATAAAAACGACAATACGGTGTAATCTCCCTTTAAAATATGAAGTTACGCATTTAGCCAAAGTATGCCCTACATTTACTGAACCGCAGAAGAAAGCACGTCATTGGAGCATATTCCAAACCAGTTGAATCCGGTCCATAGCCTCATAGTATATTCCTGTACGACAAATTTTAATATTACTCCTCCATCTGTACCTAGATTCACCAAGTGATCTGTTCTCATTAGAATTTTCGGCTAAGGTTATCTATTTTTCACCTTCGTGCCTGCTATGTCTATGTTGCGATTATATCATCATTCTTAAATTAATCATGCTAATGTTATCAGGGCCGGTCACGGTAGCCGAGCGGTCTAAGGCATGTACTGTCTTCGCTCGCTTGGAAACCGGGATAGTGGGTTCGAATCCCACTCAGGGCATGAATGTTTAGTTTGTGTGTGTGCGTTTTTCTGTGTTTGTGTACAGGTAGAGGCCTTGCGACAAGCTGATCACCCGCCCAAGGAGTCCTACCGAATGTGTAAGATCTAGAAAAACCGAAGTGAACGGAGAAGTTCATGGAGGTAGGCCTAGGCCCACTGGGGCTGTAGTGCCAAGGAAAAAAAATGTTATCAGGAGAAAAGCATGTTTTGCACACATACAAACATTTACGTTACTGATACATGCCTGGACCGCCATGAGGTACTGAAAATAAGCTAACAGTCGTTCAAATATTTAGAAATTCCCCGTATTTTATGGACGCCGAAGGTTCATTATTGTTTTCATGAGAATATGCGATCCTGAACCACGTAAATAAACGGCGGATATGAGGTTCCCTAACCGGTGACTGTCAAGAATAGTTTTGCTATCTTCTTGGATGTGACGAACTCTGCTTGCCGACTGCAGGCTTAATTTACTCTTTGGCCCTGAAGACACAGGCAGTACGATCCGATGTCTCAGTAATGCACTACCAGAAGGTCGCGCCATAGCTCAAGCGGTTAGTCGCTGGCGTCCCACCGCGGCGGCCCGAGTTCGAGCCCGGGTCTGGTCAAGTGGGATTTGTGGTGGACAAAGTGGCGCTGGGGCGAGTTTTCTCCGCGTACTTCGGTTTCCCCTGCCAATCTTCATTCCACTAAATTCTCCATCATAATCACCCGGGGCAGGCTACAATAGGCCAATCAGTGGCCGCGGTGGCGAGTGGACCCAGTTGGACTCCACCCCTTCACTAAGCGAATTAAAAAAAAATTAATGTACTACCAGACTGTACCTCGTCACAACTCAAAAGATACTACTCTTCAAATTAACACAATCTACTCTCACTCACTTCATTTTTAAAATACGTTTAAGTACCATTCTTCCATCTATGCCTAGATCTTTCGAATGGTCTCTGCCCTTGAAATTCTCAAATCAGAATATATGAATTTCTTTTCTCTCTTATGCGTGTTACACGACCACTCAATCCCATCCTTCTTTATTTAATCACTTTAATACGAGTACTATTAGGCGGCGAGTACAAAGCTCCTCAGTATGTAATTTTCTCCGCCCTCCTTGTACTTCCTCTTTCTCTGGTCCAACTTTTTTTTTCATCACCATATTATCAAAAACACTAACTCATGCTCTTCCCTTAATAACAATTACCACGTTTCACATTCGTTTAAAACAATAGATAACAATGTGCTTCCGTATATTTTAATTATAAAGTATTAGGATAGCGACTGCGAGATACAAGATTCTGAACAGGCAAGTGTGTTTATGAGAGAATGATCTAAACAAAGCCAAACCTACCTCTGCGTATAGCGCCATTCAATTCAGCTGCCACGATGTAGCAGCGGCGGGAACACAGCTGTAGCCTGCATGCAACAGAATCCGACGCGTGACTGAACAGCGAGACGCAAAGCCGTCGCGTCCGGTCGCGTCATTCAGACAGATGACACCACCATCGTCCCGTACCCGTACACTGCGTTCTTTGTAACGGCAAAGAGATTAGCAACATGAAAATTGTTGTCCCTCACAATTATGGTATGAGAACATGTAGCGTTCATAACTATTAGACATTTTAATTGCATCAAAATATAAACAAATATGTAGCTTTACCTGTTCTTTAATTTCTGACATTTCGCCCTAAGAAATTTAAGATTAGGGGCTTTCAAATAGGTGATCTTCTGCCTTATCACATCACCTGGTCTGTTAGGAGGGTACACTTCTACCTTGAAGATGGGGACAGTATGTTCCTCCGAAATATTGGTAACGACCTACGAGAATATCTAGTACCAAATTTTTATGATCTTGTATAAGGGGTGGGCCTTCTTGGCCCTTGCACCGCGACCACAGTGATCTATTGTGCCTATATAGCGATCTTAATGTTACTGAAGTTTACATAACGATCTTTACTATTTGAATCAACTGACGAACCCCTACGCGAAACCTTGTATGGAGGATATTAACAGCATTGATCCATAATGTTATTCCATTTATAACATAAATCTCAAAATAATTATGCATTAACGTACTATAATGCACTTAGAAAATGTACGGAAAATCTAATTTCTTACATTCTGTGAGCGTAAAGTGAAGGTAAACTTGTCCCTATGTATTATGCCATGAAGACGTATGGGGGAGTGGACGTATAACTCCAACATTCGTGGAGTCGGCACTAGATAGAGGCGAAAAATCAGATTCACGCCCCGTCCGCCTTAACCCCGTCGGAATTGTCTCCGGAATACATTGGATAGGCGGCTTGTTGGGTCACAGAGCCGGTCTAGACGCTGTGGAGTACAGAAAAATCTCTAGTCCTCACCGAGAATCGAACCCCAGTCGTCCAGCCCGTAGCCTGTCGCTATACCGACTGAGCGATCCCAGTCCCTGTCTGTGAGCGTAGGGAAAGAACTGTCTCAACACAAATACGGTACAGCAATTTTTCATACCTCATATATACGATACTGCTCCAACCTGAAGATGGCAATAAAACGTCCATACATGTCACTGTATTACTGAAAAAAGCAGAAGAACAGTGTAATTAAATATTTTTCACATTTTCCTGTGTTGTGCCCAACTCTGCGACCTACAATGTTGGCATTTTTACTGATCCTCTTCGCTTTGCCCGCACACTGTCCTATTTTACCGCCGGTTTTATCGATATATTTCCTATAATTTCAATCCTGTAAGATTTCAGACTCTCACAGTGGCGACTATGCAGATTTATATCTTTTGGGATATATCTCCGGGTAGTCCCTTGAAATCGTTCGGAACTCTAAAGTGTACTTAGCCCGGGGAATATCTCAATGAACCATAAAACCAGACGTTAGCTGCGCCTTAATATAAGGCCCCAGGAGCTCCGTGTTATTAACGGAACTCAACGGGACGCCCAGCGTCCTCATGTCTCAGGCACATACAGCAAGCAGCGTGTGTCTGTCCGTCAGGATAATGGCTCGTTTGAACACACCAAGCGAATGTTTCGGTGTGAGCAGTGCGTTATTTAGAACTCGCCGTCTCTGTACTTCCTGCCTCCCTCTCATCAACAGTACCAACATGGCAGACGTCCGATCATTTAGGTGATAACAATATTTTCTTTTCTTTCCATTCGGTTAATTGCATCATTACGTCTTATTCCTTTCGTCTTTATTTACCTCTCTTTTCCTTTCAATTTTTTCTGTTCTTTCTTTTTTCCATCCTGCATTATTTTTCTCTTCATTTCTTTTACTTTTCTTTTATTGTGCCTTTCTCCTGTTTACTTTTCTACCTTTATTGCCTTTATCTTCCTTTCTCCCTTTATTATTTTAAATACCTTTGTTTATAACTGCTTTTTCTATCCTGATTCTTTCTTCTTCTTCATCATTCTTTCTTTATTTTTTTCTGTTGTGTCTTTTTTCTCTTTATTCATTATTTGCTGTTACCCATCCTTTCTTCATACCTCTCACTTTCGCCTGTTCTTCTCTCATTCTTTCTCTCTGTGTGTTTACCCTTATTTCACTCAAAGTAATTTTCCAAACCGGTTCTGGGGTCCACCCACCCTCCTATCCAGTGGGTACCGGGGGCTCTTTCTCCTGGAGTAAAGCGGCAGGGGCGTGAAGCTGACCACTCACCTCCAATTAGTGTCGAGGTCAAGAAAATGTGGATTTATACAGCTACTCCCCCATACGCCTTCATGGCATAGTGCTTAATTAGTTAAGCACAGGGACAACTTTATCTTACCTTTACTCAATATAACTGGGCGGTGACTTGCACGGTAATGACTTCGTTGTGGACTTCGTAGAGGAAAAAAAATGCGATATCTTAGAGACTGTACCGTACATTATGCCATTGTTCACTCATGTGGAAATCAGATTACTGGGCAATATATTGGAAGAGTAATTAGTGACGTCCTATATACACGCTGCACCATTAAACTTCCCCTGAGGTTTACCGCCGATGTCAAAACCACCCCACACTCTGCAACACAAGGAAAATAAATGGAAGAAAGGAAATGGGTTCTTATATATGCCACAACATAAAAAGATACTCCTGGATATTATGCACGGTAATTACGTTAGACACTGTAAATTGCCTGAGGTAGGGGATTCGCTGTTCTTACGGAAAGGAAGTGGAGTTTTCTGGATGGAGACTCCATGTAACCTGAAAGATAGATACAAACATTTCGAAGGAACATAATGTCTCCATCTTCAGGGCTGAAAGCTCTCCTACTTTGTACTTCCATAAAATAAGTTCCATGGCGTCGGAAGAACTTGCTACTTCCATTTTCAGGGTAGAATATTTCTCTACTCCGTAATTTTGTAGGTAGGTATCTAATGAAGAGGAAAATACTGCCTCGTCTACCCTGTAGTTAAGTTGATAAGTTCCACGGTTTCGGAAGGACACATTACCTCCATCTTCAGGGTATAAGACTCTTTTGTTTTGTAGTTTGGAAAAGAGAGACTAACGTTTCGAGAGAAAATGCTGTCTCTACTTTTGGGGTAAAAGCTCGTCTACCTTGTAGTTTGTAGTAGGTGTCAACGTTTGGGACAAACCTGTTAACTCCATCTTCAGGGCAGAATACGCCTTTTCTCAGTAGTTTGATTGATAGGTACATAAGTTTCTGAGTGATATATTCCTTCAGTCTTCAGGCCAGAAGACTATTCTGTCCTTAATCTGGTAGAGGTACCAAATTTTCGGAGGAACACACTGCCTTCGTCTTGAGTGCAGAAGACTTCTAAACTGAATATGAAGGTAATATGTTCCTCCGACATATTGGTACCTATTTACAAAACCAGTTTTGGTATTCACCTCCAAGAGAACCTCAAACCTCAGAATCTCCACGTGAAGATTCTGTAGTTCGAATCCCAACTTGAGAAGAACCGTTGTGAATATACTGAAATATGCCTTTTCATTTTCGGTATAATGACAATGAACGGAAAATATCTGCCGTTATAAACACAGTCACCTGACGAAGGGAGCACAGTCATTCTCCCAAACCGTTGTGCATAGAAAATATCCAACAGATAATTAGCTGTCTCCTATGTAACTGCGGTAAAACCAATCAGAGACAGCCATGTTCCATTACTTATTTACTTACTTACTCACGGAGCTGAGCCCTTCCTGAGGAGCCGCCAAATCTGCAGCTACTCAAGAATTTCCCAGCATTTTATGGGACCCGAAGGTTCATTTCCATGTTCACAAGAGCCCTCCAATAGCCCCAATCCTGAGCCTGATCAATCCAATCCATACCATCCCATCCTGGCTCTCTAAGATCCATTTTAATATTGCCCACCCACCTATGCTTTCGTCTCTCCAGTGGTCTCTTTCCACATGGCTTATATTTCAGATTTCTAGACTGGAGCTGCTGTTTCCTTGAAATAGCTTCTCAATTATCCTCACGAGGCAGAGTGGACCCAGTTCCAGATCCATTACTTCTCAGAAAACCTGGTAGCACCAGGAATCGAACCCGGAACCTCTGGATATGTAGTCAGGAACTCTGACCACTAGACCACAGAGGCTGTCATCTAAGCTACTGAAAGAATCATTAAATTAACCATAAATAAACAACACGATTCTCTGTACGACATTCTTGACTTTGGCGTAGCTCACGACAAGTTCGAGTGGAAGCAATCTCACAGCATCGCAATCTCATGGTTGTCTTTCTTGCTCGTGTGATTCCTGCTTCAAATGACATGAAAATAAAAAAAAATGTAGTTCTTAATGTCATTGTGATTTAAACAACTATTTACGGCCCATAAAAATGCAATCTTATTGTATTTCCTTATCTCTTGTGCGAGACTTGGCATAAATTGGCTTCTCCAAGTCACATTCATGAATAAGCAGAAAATGGAGGGCGTTTTTGACATTTTACATCTTATTCCTCCAAACTTGAGGCTTTTACAGCGGTATACAAATGTCAGTAAAGTAGGAAATCACCCCACAAATCCCTTTCCAGAGCCCACCATCCATTACTTGGTGAAATCAATGTCGCCTTTCGATATCATACCCATACATCTTTGCTTGAAGGCAATACACAAAGCCCTTTATCCGGGCAGGAGTTCCTTCAAGAGATTAAAGGTATTGGGGTTGAAGGAGACCCTAGTTAACGTCCCCGTGAACTTCATAATGGACAGGAAAAGGGGTAGGCATGGCTAATCCATCTTACATTGTAATAAAGAGTACACCTCAAAATTTGAAACAAGAAAGATAGAAGATATGTAGTTCGAAATAACGGACTCTGTTAATGACTGATCTCTTTGTTAGTAACTGTCAGTTTCATCGTTTACAGTCAGTTTTATGTCCATTGCATGGAAATGAAATTCTTACAGAAATGGTTTGCGTGACCTTTGGAACATTCCTAAAACATCAAAGATAAACACTACTCACAAGAAATATTACCTTTTGCCTCGCAATAAGAGTGTGAAACTTGCCGAAAAAAGGTAAAGTTCTTCCTGTGCTTAACTAATTAAGCACTACGCCATGAAGGCGTATGGGGGAGTGGATGTATAGAACCATATTTATTTTACCTCGGCCCTAGTTTGAGGTTAGTGGTCAGCTTCACACCCCGGCTGCTCTACCCCGGGGGAAAGAGCCCTCGGTACCCATTGGATAGAAGGCTGGATGGGCCCCAGTGCCGGTCTGGACGAAACTTTCCGCTCGGTGAAGAATATTCAATTTCCTGGAAGAAACACACAAAACTGTAACGTTCATTTTATTTATGGTTTACTTAACGACGCTGTCGATAGCCCAGATTTTACAGTGACGACTGATTAGTAAACAATACACTAGAAATGTTGCAGAAGGAAGCGGTCGTGGCCTAATTTAAAGTACTATATCGGCATTAGCGTGGAACGAGTGAGACAGGCCACGAATATCTTCAGTCAAGATGTCGGTCTCCATGCCGAGATTTGAAACTTGGACCTTCCGAATACATGACAGCTACTCATTCGATAGCAACTTCTGGCACGATAGACAGCACTGTTAACTAACAACACACATTTCATTACTGCAGACCTGGAATCATTCCAGTTAAATCTGTCCACGCTTATAATACTATGAGTGATATGTTAAATTTCATCAAAATCTCTCAAATTAGTGAAGATATTTTAGTATGTATGCAATGACTGCGAGATAGGCGAATAAACAACGGCCAGTTCTAGGCAACGGATCGCTAAACACATTCCCGCTGCAACGAATATGCACGCAACAATAAAGTAACTATGTAAGATTTGAGGCTTTCACGGCGGTGACTATGAAGAAAGCAGTCTTCTGGGATTTGGCACCGTGTATATGCGGTGTCCACCGACGTTTCGGAAGAACGTATCGCCTCCATCTTCCATCTGCCCTGAAGATGGAGGCGATACGTTCCTCCGAAACGTCGGTTAACACCACATATACACGGTGCCAAATTCCAGAAGACTGCTTTCTTCAATAAAGTAACTGTTGGACATAGTATTGTCTACTCGGTTCGTGCAAAGGAGTTATAAGGAAGACAACTGGGGCGACCCAGGCGCATAAGATAAGTAACATCTGCTCTTTGAAACCTGGACTGACAGGGGACTAGTGTGTAGTGCAAAAGGAAGAAACTTCAATAACACGCTATAAGTGCGATACGTACACTTAACGAAAGGCCAAGCATTTTCTTATGAGACAAATCCATCTTCTCGTCAGAGAGGATGTTACATAAGAACTATTACCGAAAGAACTCGGTTGGGAAAAAAAATGGTCGTGGGTCTCAAGGAGCCTGACGTCAAGTCGAACTGACTGACGGTAAACTGCCAGTCGTAAAGTAGCTCTGACTTTGACTTTGGCCCAGTTCTGCAAGGGAGGATGAGAAGAGATGGCGCTATAGTTCAGTTGCGGGACAGTAATGGCGTGAGCACAGACGCTGAAGAATCTCCATTGTTGAGAACTGTTACCAAGCAACAACTAATGAAGACACTGAAGGCTGGGGATATTTTAAGTATGGAAATTAGCGATAGTGTTATAGTTATTTGTAGTTACGTCCTGTAAGTGGTCAATAAATTGAATCACCAATTCATACCCCGTCTATAGTCACACTCTACACGTGACAATATATGCTTGTAATTTCATGTATTTTCTTAGCTAGTCCTTAAAGAAGCTGAAAGGAACAAATAAGAAAATTGCTCTACCAGTGTAGATGCTACGGGCTTTCATTTGCTGGTTAGAATTATCTAAACCACCTATACATTGGCTGTACCTATGGACAATGCTAACAATGCTTTTCCTCACGTCTGCTCCGTATCCCCATATTCACCACGGTTTCACAACCAGTACTTCTAGAGGCAAATGTGATTGCCTTCGGAATCCTTTCACTAGACCACTACCAATTTATCACATCTACAAAACCCTCCATATCACCTCTCTTCTGCTTGTTGTTTTTGTCAGATGCTCATCATTCACTCTGTTACGACGTACTGTCCCTGTTCCCGCCAAACCTCGATTCATGAGATAATTGGGCAGTGATACTGTTGTTTCGTATTGATCCAAAAATACACAGGAATTCAGTGCCAAGGTTTCTACTACACGCAGAGCTACAGACGGACTTAAGGAAGCATTGTTGTTTTCAATGATAAAAAAAGTGAAGGTATCCTTGTAACAGGCCTTGGAGACCCATAGGTTTGTGAGATGTTGAGATTCCCACATTTTCTAGACAATCGGCTCATAGATGGCGGTAAGGTTGTCAGCCCTGCGCGCCGGCCGCTCTTTACCCCCAAAAATATTCCAAGAATACTCCTGGTACTCATTTCTGTTAGAGGCTGAGTGGACCCCAGTGCCATAGTGTGGCTGGAAGGACTAGGTAAATTGAAAAAAAAATCCAATGACCTCATCGGGATTCGATCCCGCGACATTTCGGCTTGTAGCATAGTGCCTCAACCAACGATGAACTTCATAATTCTAAACGAGGCCTTCATATTTCACTGGTTAGTGGACAGAGTCCTGTAAACGGTATCATCCGCTTATCAATCCAAATATATTATCTTTATAATTGTACTGCCTTTCGTTTAAATAGTTTAGCTTATGGTAACCCTACGTAAAAAAAAAGTCGTTGTTTTGGACTTGAGGTTCTCACGACCGTCACTATGAAGAGTACTTAATATCTTCGATGGTCTAAAGTTGTGTAGTACAGTGTAAGTTCACAGACATTTCGAAGGAACGCAGTGCCTCCATATTCAGGTTCGAAAAGTTACCCCACCAAATGGCGTGCAAAAAGTAGGCGACGAACCTATATTCAACACAGACATGCCGGCAGCACTTAAAACGCAGTCCTACGTAGCTGTTGGACGTGACGTCACTGATCCATCAGCTGTCGGGGACACCAGAAACTTTTCCGTCAAATTTAGTGGGGAGAGGTTCAAATCCAGCGCGTCAGGTCCGAAAACAGTCGCGAGGACGATGTTTCCGTGTTTCCAAGGTTGGCAGCGTGGTTGGTGCAGTGTGTTCAGTTACGTCATCAGTCCGTAATAATTTCTGTAGTAGCTACTTCGCTGGTGTAGATTTGTCCGTGTTTTTTCCACTCAGTTGTAAACTTCTGAACAAAGAATCATGATGCCAGGAAGGCAGTCTTGTTTGTCAGGTGAGACCGGAAACGTAATTTCTTTTACCGCAGTTGAAATAAATACATGATAGAAACCTGTAAGTCATTAACTTACGAAGTATATACAAGGAATAACTGTAACCCTTATTCCGGCATAGCGAAGTCAGTATAGTGACTGGGTTCCGATTCACGGTGGGGGCAAGAGACTATTCTCCTCATGACTGTATCCAGACCAGTTTTCGGGCCCATCGAACTTCAGATTCATTGGGTACCAGGGCTCCTCCCCCTCTTATGATAGCATTATCATACTTTGGATAATTATTTATTAATGCATCTGTAACCTTCCATAGAACTAGCAGCCAGGGGGTTTTATTTAATCATTACTGGTTAATGGATTTAAAATAATTATAACTGTTGTGTGATAAATGATGGATCCAGCTATTTCTTATTTCAAACTTTTTTTTTTTAAATATGTGCTCAGAGCTGATACAATTCCTGTAATTTATTTTAGCCATAAGAGTTTTATTCATTTTATATATTTAAGATTTAAATTATTACAGATAATCCCTTGGGTTTATCATGGCATGACAGCGCTTGGATACCATTGCTGAACCCAAGCAACATCATGGAATATTTCTCTGAACGCAGTAATCCATTCTTTGATCGAACTTGCAACAATGAGATTGTTAAGATGCAACGGCTGAATCCAGAACAACTAAAGTAAGCTTCTTTCTACTTGTTACAGAAATTATTCATCATGCTTTTACATTAGTAAACTTCTGTGAAACATGTAGCCATGTTATAAGATACTATATATGATACATAAACGAGAAGTTCTGGGAAGGACTAGTCACCTTTCCTTTGATACAACATGGACCATATAGAATGCCTACAACAATTCTTTATTGGTGCAAGAATGTGTACCAAGCCATTTTCTTGCAACATTAGGGGTTACAGAGACCCACAGGCTATTCTTTAATGTCTAATAATTCTTTGTTTCATGTATTCAGTGCTAAGGAGCATGTTTACTGTGCTGTTGCCTGTCAGTGATAGGGGGGAGACACAGACTGATGGAAGGGATTTATGAAGTGCACCATTGATATGAGCTCAAGTGCCATGATACACATACCAAGCTTCATAAAGACTGGTTCACACATTCAAAAACTGATGGGGGTGGGGATACAGAGAGAGAGAGAGAAAGAGAGAGACAACAAGATGATCGAGTAAGCTTACGTTAATTTTTCCAAAATAGGGGAAGTAGCCTAAAACAAATCACACCATGATTCTGAGATATAGCATTTAGTGTGCTAGTTTCTATGGTTGTTGGCCCTGCACCCAACCTCCAAGCTGGAGGATCACCCATTATTAGCTGTCCACTACTCCTTTTTCAGTGTATTCACAACAGCCTTGTTAACAAGGGAATCTCTTTTTTTTTTTAATTCCCTTAGTGGGGGGTGGAGTCCAACTGGGTCCACTTGGCACAGTGGCCACTGATTGGCCTACTGTAGCTTGCTCCGGGTGATTGTGATGATGGAGAATTTGGTGGAATGAAGATTGGCAGGGGAAACCAAAGTACTCAGAGAAAACCCACCACTTTGTCCACCACAAATCCCACTTGACCAGACACGAGATCGAACCCAGGCTGCCACAGTGGGAAGCCAGCGACTAACCGCTTGAGCTATGGCATGGCATACGGGAATTATTTCTATTAAAAGTAACATTTTCATGACCATTAGTACATGTTGATAGCTGAGGGCGTTAGCACATAGGACAGCAGCACTCCTTGATCTGTGCTGTACACGACTCTTATCTGTTAAAGCAATATGACGGGGTTGGAATACATCCTGCTCCACGTGCAAGAGCCTATTCTTTATGTCATCCGAAAACAACACCGTCATTCGCCTACACATGCCACACCATTGGCTGACTATTATATTATAGCTGGAATTGTGTACCAGGCTCCGGATCTTATCTCTGTCATCAACTCCAGAATTGTAAGTTGAAGAAAAGTGTAGCAGCTGTCTATCTTTTTCATCTAATCCCTGAAACTGCACTGAATCAGTAGCTGTACAGTAGAGCAACATGTATCTTTATATTTGGCTTCATAAATATCACTTATTTGAACACAATTCTAGGTGCATGCACGCACATGAAGAAGTACCGTATTGCAGTGCAATATTCGTATGACATTTTAGTAAATGCAGTCATGTAAATAATATTTTTAATTAATTTTGTATCAGCTCTTTCTATGCCCCACACAAGATATCTTGTTTGGAAACAAAGTCTGTCTTATCCGGATTTATTTCTGTATGAGAAATTAAGTGAAAGAAACAAGTCTCACCCCTTACAAGCCAAATAAAAGCCAGAATTGAAACAAGGATCTCATGACAAGTGTTAAGATTATGGTCTTCTGTAATGTGATACCAAATTTTTGGAGGAACCTGCTGCCTGCATCTTCAGGTTAGGAAAGTAGTCTTCTACCACGAAGATGGAAGCAGCATATTCTTCTGAAACGTTGGTACCCGTCTACCCGACTACATGGCATCATATCCCTAGTTGTTATGGATAATCATCAGCATATACCAAGTCTTGTTTAATTATGTATTTGACCACAGATATCAACAGTTCATCATCTGCAGTCTGCATTTGAAGAAGCGAATTCATATTCACGATATCACCCTTCAAAAGGATACTCATGGGATTTAAAGGAGCGGAAGGTTCCAGAACGCTTAGCAGCAAAGAAAGAGACACAGCGTGAAGAACCAAGTTCTCTCTTCCAACGCCACCGTGTTGACATGCTTCTGGCTGAACTGACTCGGAAGTTTCCCATTCCTGTTGCCGCACCACCTCAGAAACAGCCTGCTCCAGGTGTGCAGAAGTATACACATTCCTCCCTTAAACATTTACGAGTAACATGTAACACTGAATATCCTTCCCAAGTTCTGTTCATCTCTGTCCCATTCATTCTACCAGCTTGTTAGTAATTTGTGAGAATATTTTAATATATTATTACTACATACATATCTGTATATCACATGCCAGACTTCAGTCATTCATTAATTTATACATCAGTTAATTCAGTTCATGTGTAGTTACATGCTAACAGCCCAAGACCAATGATTATAAAGTAACCACAAGTAACAAAAAGAAAATAAAACGGAACACACAAAATCAAAATACAAAAATAAGACAGTTTACATAATTTAAATAATGATGACTATAATAATTATTATTCCATTAACACAAATCAGAGTTATCATTAAGAAGAGAGAAAAGGGAAGTATATACATTTACAGTGAATACAGTTAGCATTTTAATGACCAGAAGAACAATGGCTAATATAAAATATGACAGCAGGAAACATTTCAGTTTTTTATTAATACATAATAAAAATAATTCTATGCAATTCTTTATTTATGTGCTTACACAAGCCCAAAGGCAAATTGAAAATAAATATATTTTTTATAGCTACCATGTTGTCTCTTATTCACAAGCTATGACTGTTCCACAGCTGAATTTTTACAAATGAAAATTTCAGATGAATCAGACTTTCCATTTATTCCCAGTTTTTATGTTCATATAGCATATTTTTTTGGTTAATTCAGCAACTGGTTTGGAGTCTCCCTCTTGGCCTCCTTCCTTTCACTTGTAGTTACGAATTTCTCTAGATCATGTGTGCGCTCACTCTCATCCGTCTTCCTGTCTTGCAGTTCCAATTATGTCTTGTCTTTGAATTATGAAAGACTTTGATATTTGCACATTCCTGCATGTATACTAATTTTAAATTTATAAAAACCCCAAGAAAGTCACTGTTTATACATTAAGTTTGGATCTAAAAATTATGGCATAACATTACATATATAAATGTCATTCTTGGTTGCAGAAGAACTGAAGACGGAGGCTCGAGAAGTGAAGACAGAAAAACCTGACACTCCACGTAACATGAAACCACCACCCGAAAAGAAACCAAGACTGTCCTAATAGTAACAGCAGGGTGAGGGGGGTGATCATTCTGGATTACATGTTCTTTTATAAACGGTGTATAAAATGTCTTTCATTAAATAAATTTTCACAAGGTAAAATTGGTGGACTAGCTTTACTTCCTGTCCTGGATTTGAGGTTCAGAACTGTCTTCTCAGATGTAATACTGTGTAGTTCAGTAGATATTCACCAGTGTCTTAGAGGCGTGTACTGCCTCCAAAGAGTAAGCCAAGCAAGAAACCAGAAAGCAGAGCAGGCAGTACATTCCTCCAAAATGTCAGTGAACTTTACCAACTTCATGGGATTACAACCCAGCTGTCCTTTCATTTCCATAGCAATGCTCATTTGCCATGATGATATTTACATTGTTAAAAAAAGCATCTTATTCAGATTTCTTAACGATCTACCAAGTACTTCAAACATCATTAATGTTGCTCCCAATTCAGAAGTTTGCCTTGGATACGAAAAAAATGCCTAATTTCAACTATGGTAGCAGGAAATGCAACTTTCTCAGTGTGGAGGAGAAACAAACAGGAAAAGTTGGAAGAAGTCATGTGACAAACTACAACTTGGAAGCAGTGTATCGCTCTAGGTCTAAACACTATACTGAATTGGTCTTGACAGTGTGAAACGGTAAGCGTTTATGGTGACATTGAAGAATTCCACAGTGCCAAGAACTAGGATGACCTGAATGTTTTTTCAGTTACTATTTTTATAAGGTTTATTTATACTAAATACTCTGAAGGAAGAGAAAAGGGTTGGTTCTACAGAAATAACAATCATTCCTAGAATTCTCGAGTACCAGTGTAGCCAGAAGATGTGCATTGCAGCCCCACGTTACAGACTTTCAAGTCATGGAATTTTGTAAAGATAAAAAAAGGTAAAGCTATCCCTGTAACAGGCCGTGAAGGTCCATAGAGTTGTGAGGCATCAAGGCTCCCACACTTTCTAGACAATTGGCCCACAGATGGTGGTGAGGAGGTTAGCCTCACATGCCGGCCTCCCTTTACTCCCCAGGAAGATTCCTCATACTCGTAGTATATGTTAGAGGCTGAGTCGACCCCAGGACCATAGCGCAGCTGCAAGGATTAGGTCAATTGAAAATACAATGACCTCATAGGGAACCAAACCCACAACCCTCCACCTTGTAGCATAGTGCCTCAATCAACTATGCTACCACATGCCCCTATGGAACTTTTTTCTTGTGGAAATTATAAAACATTACCATAAAATTCACAATGCAGACCATGAACCCACCCTTACATAATTTTGGGAGAAATGCTACAGATTTTTAAAATGGAAAACAATAAAATGAGCTAATATTCTATTTTTAAGAAAGGATTATTTGTTAAAAATTTCAGATCTCATATGCACGTGTCAGTGATGTAGAAGGGTATGAAACTAGTCAGCTCACCTAAACACATTCATCATTGCTGCAGGACAGTAGCATGATCCCTATTCCCATCTTAATTTAGATTATGCAGTATTAAAGAGGTCAATAAGTAATATACCTGAAAGAGCACAGAAAGGAACTGTGAAAGTGTGTCTTATTACAGCTGTTTACTGAAAAGAAACTAGTGAAGGAGCCCGTCTCTACTCATAACATGGGAGTAAATGGAAAAATAAGGTTTACATTATGGAATTTCACAACACAGATACATTTACAAGAACTTATCCCTCCTGTAATATGGAGAAATGCCATAATTTTTAATGCTATACTAAACATTTTGAAATGCCTTACTGGTAAACACAAAAAGCATCACAACTTGATACAAATATTTTCATGCGACAAACATGAACTAACCCCTTCCAAACAATTTAATACTAAGGTCCAGAACTACTATTATGGGAAGTTCAAAGTATGAATATGTACCTTCAATGTCCCTTTGCTTTGGTAGGCACACTCTCCATACAGAAATCAGACATTGCTCCTATTTGTCACTGCTGAAGTCAAAGTCGTCACTATCTTCATGTGATATAGTTGCATCCAGCTGGAGTGATTCTGTATCTGACTCCAGCATCTTTGTCAACCCCGGAAGTTTCCTGGAACCTGACCTGGGTACAGACGGCTGTATTATCTTTATTGTATCTGGTTCCTTTGGGTAATTTTCAGGTTCGGATGAAGTTTGTGGAATTTTTGACTCTGCTTCTGGATTGCCATACACAGTTCCCTCATGTCCAGTGCCTTCAGATATTTTGATATCTTTCCTATTAGCCAATTTCTCCATATTTTTACCACTCTCAGTACTCGAAGTGCTTTCATGTTCATTCTCAAGTGCAGATGCTGCTTGTTTTGTCATCTTCACTCCTGATGGCACAGACTGCTGTCCCTCCTTTCCACATTCTTCACTGTAAAGTTCAGGGTCTGAATTAGAGAAGTACAGGGAATATAAGTTAACTAACATTTTCAATACCAAATTTTTCAGACAGAAATTAAGCTCTCAGTTCACTGAGCGGTAGCATAGTTGGTTGAAGCACTATGCTACAAGCTGGAAGGTCACAGGTTAAATTGCTGATGAGATCATTGGATTTTTCAGTTGACTTAATCCTACCAGCCGCACTATGGCCCTGAGGTCGACTCAGCCTCTAATGGAAATGAGTACAAGGTACAAGGAATCTTCCTGGGAGTAAAGGGTAGCCAGCGCATAAGGCTGACAACCTCACCACCAGCTGTGAGCCGACTGTCTAGAAAGTGTGAGAGCCCTGATGTCTCACAACCTTATGGGCCTCCATGGTCTGTTACAGGAAAAGTTTTACCTTTTACCTCATTCTTTTCTAAGAAAAATGACAAATAAGTGAAGAACCACAGCCACAATAACAATCATAACCCATTCCCAGCTTAAACACTTTATATTAGCCCTATGTAGATTGTCATTCCCATCCTTAACACTCAAATCATCTGTTTTTTGTTTTTTTTTTCCCCCTCTCTCTGTCTCCAATTGGATGGCTGCTGACGAGTTAACTAACTACCTGATGCTTCAATAGGCCATACAATATATGGGGGTTATGTTCCCTTCACAAACTGCCTGAGCTGTTTGTTATAAATGAGATACGAGGTTCTCATTGCAATGATTATGAAGATTACTGTCCCTGGCATATGACACTCTATAGTCTGGTAGAAGTTTACTGCCATTCTCGATGAACATCTGCATTCATCTTCATTATTTCCCTCAGATTTGCAGTCAGAATGTTCCTCCAAATGTCAATAAGCTTCTACCAGACTACATGGAATCACTCTCAGAAGACAGCAATGAAATAATAAATAAATAACTATTCTGCATGAAACAATATGATAAAATCTGAGGCTAGGTCAGACAGAAATTAAAAAAAAATATATATATAAATATCATTCCTATATCCTCAGAAACATTGTATTGGTAAATAATCTGTAACAGTGTAACATACCCAACTTGTGATCCTACCAATGCAGCCAGCTGGAGTTCAAGTTCATCCATGTCACTCTGTTCAGGATCTGTTTCACCTAACAGCTGATGATATTGCTTCACATCTGAAACATGATGCACATGCACAGAAGTCTTTATGTAAAATGTCTAATATTTTTGTCAAATTTTAACTGAAATTAGAATGTATTAATAAAGTTTATTAAAACTCCCCAATAGCAAATCTCATTAAATTGTGTTCAGCAATTACAGTGTTGTTTCATGCAGACACAGAAACTGAATTAATTTAATAGGCACTCTGCATGGTTGCAAATGCACCTAAAAAGGATTGAAAACCAACAATACATAAGTAGAAACATGGTGTAAAAATGTGTTCATAAAAAATTATACTAAGGCCACAGAAGGAAGTCCCACGGATGGTGGGATTGATTGCACTAGAGGCCTCTAATGTTTTAGCATAGTGTTGTATTACCCTCCAGCCCTCTCTAGCCTATATCAACCATTCCAAACGCTTGAACCTAGTGAAAGTTATCACATGGTTACCACTATCACCATTCCTCTACATACAGTGACTATGCTGGAAGAGAATATAGTTAAGCACAATGACAGGGGAATCATAACAATGATGGTCTATCCCCAGGATTTGTTCCCATGGCATGAGTGTAATACTGAACCTTCTTCATGTCTAAACTTATAAAACTAGCAGCAGTTTCCAAATATATTTCTCAATAAACTACAGCAATAAAGTAGAAATATTTTACTTACCTCCTAAAGATGATGCCTCTGTGAGATCACTTGAAATATCGGACTGTTTTGGCAATGTGTTGCCATCATATGCCTTGTCTTCTACCATTTTACTCGGTGTTTTTTCTTCTTTAGCGCCTAAAGTTCCACCCTCTGTATTTTCCTCTCCTACATCTCCTTGTATTGCGCCACACACTTGCATTTGTTCCTGGTATTTCCCGTCCTTGAATGAACGTCTGTCAGGAGAGTCACCTGCACTTTCTTCCTGAACTTCATATTGTTGTCCTTGAACCAATTCTTCAGATAGCTGTTCATGTTGTTTCTCAGCATCTTCTTTGTTACTCACCCCTTCATTTGCTTCTTCACACTGTAAGCCTTGTCTGCCTTCCCTAACCCGTTGCCCCTCTGACAGTAGCTGACTACTCTCTTCCCCTTGTTGCTGATGATCTTCATAATGTTGTTCATACTGATCTGTATACTGTTCCACATACTGCTCATCATATTGTCCGTCCTGCTGACTATACTGTTGCCCCTCCTGATCCTCATACTCTTGACTGTATTGTTCCCCATACTGTCCTTCCACTTGCCCTGCATACTGTTGGTAATACTGCTCCCCTTCTTGATTCACATATCGTTCATCATATTTCTGACCATATTCATTCTGCTGATACATTTCACCTTCTCCATACTGATAATACTGATCATCCACTTGTTGTTCTGTATACTGTTGGTAATACTGATCGTTTTCTTCCCACTGTTTTTGCTCTGTAAACTCAATGTCCCCTGGCTGTTCTGCTTCATACTGTTGAGTGGGATGGCCCTCGTCAGCTCTGTATAGGCTCTCATTTACAGGAGTTTCACTAGCATTTCCTGCAGAATCTGGCACATTTCTTTCATTGTCTTCAAGTCTTCTCTCTATATTCAGCGTTTTATCTTGGTTATCATTTAAAACAGAGTGTCGCTGCTCCATCTGAGACAGTCCACTTTGTCCTTCAGTCTCAGAAAGTGCTTCACCAGGGTATAAACTTTTATCTGGAATAACTGGATCACCTGCTTCTCTTTGTGTGGAATTCTTCTGGTGTAATTGTTGCTGCTCATCAAACTCACCTTTTCTATCCAATGCAGATGTAAAACTTTGTGCATCACCTGATCCACCTTCAACAGTTTCCTGATTCCTTTGCTCTAGATGAGGTTTTGATTCTTGATGCAAGTCCTGGACCTCCTTATTCGACAGGATACCCTCATTATTTACATTTTCACTATGCTGAGCATTCTTATTTGTTAGTTTGTCTTTGTTATTTTAAGCATTTATATTCACTTGCTCTGTCTGACTAATGTCTTTGTCTTCATCATCCTTCTGACCTACCAGTGTTCTGCTAGCTTCTTCTTGGAGAACTCCATCGTCTGACAATGAGACATTCAGCAAGTCACCACTTGTGTTCTGCTCCAATTCAAAATCCACAGAATCACCTAAATTTTTATTATCCTTCAAGCTATTGGGATTTATTTCACTAAGACGCCCCTTCATATCCCTCAGATTATCCTCTCCTCTGCTTAACTGTAACATTTCTGCAGCTCTTCCTAAATAATCATCAAGCTGATCTATTTTATTAGATTTGACTTCATCAGTTGCACTATTCTGACCATAAATGAAAGTCTCATGTGTGTATATAGGTGGTGCTTTTTGGGATGCTGAATGCTCTCCAACTGTAACAATTCTGGGTAGTTTTTCTGTATCTATGACATTAACCACATGACACGCTGGACTGGGTCCATCTATAAGTTTAGTTGTTGGTGCTGTATCAACTGATGTCCTATGGGCTGACACAGGTTGGTAGCTGGTCGGAATTACTCCAACAGTAGAGTAGTCCTGATGGTGTGGTGGAGCTGTACTTCTATTGTAATCTTCTGGAAACAGGAACAATGAACTCCCCTGTTCTCTGTAAGGATTATTCCTATCAAGTTGTAAGTTCAACTTCTTAAGCAGTGGATCAGATTTTCTTGTGGTAGGCTGGTCACCTGTGAATTTATTATTTACATACCTCCAATCTGGATACATTTTCAACAAGTATGCTTCATAATGTCTCTGAAAAAAAAAAGCTTACATATTAGCTTGGAACAGAGAGTACATGTACTTTATTCTGCTAAAATTATTTTTAAAAACATTTAAATAACAGTGTAAGATTTGAAGGTTTCGCAGCAAATAAATGTGATAAAATCTTCAGCAATCAGATGTGTGTCTAACACTGAGTTAAGAACCAATGTTTCTGAGACTTCCATTTCCAACATCGAGGTCAATGACACAGTTACATAGCCGAGAAACTGGCGTTCAATTCCTAGCAGGGGCAAGATTTTCTTTTGTCCATAGCATCCACACTAGCTGGGAGCCATACACAGCCTCCTGTTCAATGGGTCCTGGGGGCTCTTTCCCTAGCAGCAGAGTGGCTGGAGTGTGAAGCTGACCACTACCTTCATTCAGTGCCAAGGTTAAGAACATATGGATCTATACCTCCACTTGCCCACACATCTTTATAGCATGGTGCGTAATTAATTCAACCAAAGGATGACTTCACCTTTATCTTAAGCAATGTCACTATAAACATGCACTGTGTTACAGTTTTTCTCGGCATAATTAAAAACAAATTTCACATATATGAGAATTTTTTCACTCAGTTCAGTGGCCATAGTTAACATATACACCTCACAGAATACAAATATGAGATAAAGGTTATTCTTAATCAAAATAGTGAGATAGAAACAATTTGAAATTACAAACTCTGAAAAGATAACTGATTGGAAGGAGTCATTCATAGCTTATTTCAAGATGCTTTCCTAGCATTCATCTGAAGAGGAAATCCAGGAGTCAGTGTAACCAATACCATGGCCAAGATTCAAACCAGGTACCATATGAATACATGTCGGTGCAAGCTAGTGAAGGTTCATATTCTATGAACACATTTCTTAACCCTTGCTCTGACACAGTGCTCTTTCCATTTTCAATACTTCATCAGTAATAACATAAATTTAAAAGAAGTTTCAGTTTTTGCACCTAGAACTCACAGATTACTTACTCTAAGAATCTTTAATCTTTCACTTTTAGCTGTCAGTATGGCGGTTCGGCTCTCTATTCTGTCAAGAGCCTGTAATATCCTGTCATTTCTTTCCCGTCTTTGTTTCTCTTCTTCAAGAAATGCTTCGTATCTTTCTCTCAAGTTATTCAGCCTTGCTTCTTCCCTGTAACAGAAGTCATACTCACAAAGGCACACTATACTCAAGATGACATAAAGGCATCCCAGCAGAGAACTGAACACAGGTCTGTTGTTATGTCAGTAAACAATATTACAACATATTACAGCAAAGACCAGAGGAATGAACAAGAAGTACTGTGAAGAACTAATGGCCTACTTCCCTTTGATATGACACAGACCACATAAGAAACAATGCCTCAAACTATTCTTCATTGTTGTGGAGAAGTGTAGGGGATACAAAGACTCACAGACCCTTCCTTGTTATGACATAGACCACAAAGAAAAGGACATGTCCAACAATTCATCTTTTATTTCGTGTATTCATTGCCAGAGGCATGCGTTTACCGAACCACTGCCAATCAACAAAATTGGGGATACACATACAGACACACACTCTGACAGAAGGGATTTATGAAGTATGCCACTGAGACGGGTTCAGGTGCCATGATATACATCCAAGTTTTATAAAAATCGGTCTTACAGGAATATCGTTGGCAAGACAGCCCTTTTTGAGCCATAGACTTCCTTAGATGATTCTGCCAGATTGCATCTGGTTTTCATTTCTTCGGTTTTTGTGACAAAATTTTTTTACAGAGCAAAGTCATCAGCTTTGTATCCAACCCCCAAACTGCAGGACCAAATCCCTGTGTTTACGTACCCCAGTGACAGGGTGGCCCAGTTATACACCCGGGCACTGGGTTCCCTTTCCGTCACCTTCTACAACTTGCAGGGCTACAGAGGAGGTATTCTATTCTGCCTCCATATGGGGACTTGCAGGAATATACACATATTAAAACATGCTGTAAAGCAGTAAGTGATGAGATAGTGGCACAGTACTCACAGTTTTCTGTGTCTTGAAATCCATACAGGACAGACAAGGGATTTTCTAGTTCATTTCTGTGACCACCACTAGATTATTTGTTGTCCTAAGACAGACAACAGGCTGAAAACTCTGATGTTGAACCCCCCCTATCATATTTCATTCTCTGTCAAAACCAACACACCTTAAGGGTTATCATTTTTTAAGCGTGATTTAATTCAGCTTTTTCTTCAAGTATACACATCTTGACTCTTTGCTCCATAAACACATTAGAACACAGCAGATCTAAATATAATATTGTTACATGTGACATAGTAAAATATAATATGGTAAGAACTATTTAAAAGGCATTTACAGTATTAATTGGTCCTGGAAATCATTAATATAAATTAAAGGTTTTTTCTCCAATATTTGAAAATGGTGTTCACAAAAGCTAATATAAAAGACAGTTAATAATAAATTCAGTACTGACGCAGGTAAACAACTACACTACATTATGCTATTTCCTTACAATACATAAGTCTCCGATCTCCAGTCTAGGAATGATCCTACAAATGTCATTCATAAGCAAAATTGAAGTTATCAAATGTGCTGCCTGAAGATGGCCCTGTGTGGCCAAAACATGTAACATAAACACAAAATGTATATATATTTTAATGACATTTTAAACATTTTAACAAACATTTTATTGAATTAAATGTGGATTAGTGTCATCTAAATCTATATTAATATTGCTGCATTATAGATTGGAGGAGACTACAAGTGATGCTTTAATGAAACAGGATGCTGAAATATGAAATTACCAACTATCAAGGCTGATCTGTTCATCCACTGCAATAAGACAAGTTAATATACTTTTTAACAAGAACAACGCAATGCTCTCCACTTTGTATGTTTGTTTCTGTTTTCTTTGACTAACAAGGAGTATACCTACAACACGCACCACGATCGATCTAGACCCAGTTCTTAGGCATACAAAGCCATGACTATGCTCTGTCACTTTATAATGTTAATCGGGACACATTTGTGAGAAGACTGAATAAATGTTTGTGATCTACAAAAGAATATACTTCTCTACAGCAACTTGGCAATGCTACTTACTCATCACGACAAGAGCTCATTAAAAGTGAAAATTTCTCTTCTAGTTGTAATCGTTCTTCTTCACTGGAAGAGAATGAGCATAGCCGAATATTATTATAATTCCAACTTTACATGTCTGTTTAAAATGGAAAATATGAACACCAACAATAAACAATAGTCTGCTAATTTAACCTACTTTACAATATATAAGCTTACCTTCTTCTCAGTCTTTCCTGCAATTCCGACATTTTACGATAAAATCCAATACTTTCGTCTACTTTCGACATTGTTTCTGCTCGCTCATAGTTTCAAAATTAATTCATTTGGAAACTTTCTTTCAAACTACTACAACCTTCGAATCACCACCAAAATATTCCACACACATGATAGCACTCTGCACTAACCAATAAATGTTTGTATCGGAATGTCTACCAATCACAGTAAAGCATAGAACACGTTCACAAAGTTCATAAACAAACGAAGAATTCTTTGCACCCTAACAACAGAGCGCGACAAATAAACTTTCCTGCCCTGTTCTTAAACCTCAACTGACTCCAATGCAGTGATATATATATGAATGACAACCAATTCAGCGATGTAAGTTAACAATAAATTTCTCTTATTTTGGGGGGTGAACTCCGCAAACAGGGTTTAATTCTAATTAAGGCGTGCAAACGATTGTAACACTCGCTATTCATCGTTTGCGTGTCTGGCGGTTGTCAAATTATCGCCCACCGTGGTGAGAGAACTTAAATACGAAGATGAATAGTTCGGATACGAACTCCTGCGTGAGACGGTAGTTGAGTTTACTACTTCTGCTTTCAGGTGTAGCAGAATACAAATAAAAATAAAACTCAAATCATTCTAACGGGATCTTCATTTCATTAACATAAGAGCACTTCAATGTTAATCCGTTGTCAGTTCACAAAATGGATTGACGCTTCTGCACGGAAGGAAAATATTAATTGAAGTGCGAGTATCTGCCAGAGTCCTTGAAACATAGATCGATAAGCTTCTAAAAAGAAAACAAATGGAGAGAGAACTAGGGTTGCACGCAAGCACGCAGGGCCTGGCAGCTGGTAGTACGGTACCACCTTAGATATTACAGGGCATATTTATTATTTGTGCTACCGCCGTAACAGTGACCTATATTCATATCACTATGTTTTGTCCCGTTCCCGTCTTACGTGTTGACATGAGGAAACCCTAACAGACCCAAATAAAACTGACTGATGGAATCCAACTAGGAAAGTGACCAGTACGATCTTCTAGGTAATAACGCCGTGTAGTTCGCAGAAAGCTCGACATTTCAGATGAATGTCACCTACATCTTCAGAACCCAAAAGTAAACGGAGCAAAAAACACTAAAAGTAGCCGGAAAACACAGCCAAGTACATGTATCGCGTCATCGGAGACAGATGGAGCTTCGCTTTTCGACTGCTTCTATTGGTTTCTTGCTTGGCTTACTCTTCGACCATGAAGGAAGGAGCATGTTCTTCTGGACCAGTTTTCTCCGAACTACAAGGTGTTACAGCCCAGAATACCATATTCTTCATAGGCACCGCTGTGCGAACCTCAAATCCAACGAAATGAGAAGTATTATTAAAAAAATGCAAGTCAAAGTTTGCTTCGTGCCAGAAGTCACAACAGACTATAAACTCATTGCGGTGATGTTACTTCTCCGTATCTTGAGCAGTGCTTTTGTCAGCCATCATGAATACCCGCAAGGGTGTCAAATATCAAAAGTTGTACATGTGCTGGTGTGTGTATACTGAGGCTAAACGGTGAATGAAAGTATCAGCAAACATGTTTTTTTTTTGAAACGAGGCGCTGGTTTTGCTAACAACGAAAGACATATAAATGTACGTCTAAATGGCAAATTCAGACTTCATTCTCATAATGGAATCACCTCAACAGATGTTTACAGCGCAGGACACATCTTCATTTCAGTCCTGTACACCGAACTATGTGAATTCCAAATTTTCTGAAGATTCGTGGTATGCTATGAGCTTTGTAAACCTATACAGCCATCGACAGAGGGGTATATTTAAAACTTCTGTTTAAAAATAACAAATAAATTCAACTCTGCAACAGACAATGTCAGAGAGGAAGGCCCGGACTTAAATCCGACGTCACCTAACAAATGATATAACCAAAGCCAAAGTCACAGATGCCTTATCCAGATGTATAATTACAATGCAGTAGAGTCTGTACGTGAATGTATGAAAAGCTAATGAGAAGGACGAAGCGAATTATGGGTCCGTCAGGACTGGCCACGGCAATGATATACTTACCAACGCAAATGATTCATAATGTAGAAATGTCGACTGTCCCCGATGGCGGAGAATTTGAAGCAATATGAAGTAAGGTTCAACAATGTTGTCAGCTTCAGCTCTGTCCACGTGATATACTATGTAAGGGCAAAGATGTCTAAATGCCCCTCACCCCAGACCCCGGTTCGTGGCCTGCTTGTAGGGAATATACCTAGAAAATATCCATTAAACCTGGTATTATTTGAAGGACAGCCATTTTAAACCTTGGCTATATTATTATTATTATTATTACTATTATTATTTCTTCTTTATTTTACTCTCTAGCACAATACACTCAAAATTATCATTTAAATTAAAAATTTAGGATAAAAGTTTCCATCAACAGTAACAGAATATTTTGGTCATGTGGCTAAAATATTCATCCAATGTATAAATGTAATCATGTTTACTACACTGCAATTGTGATAATCAGTGCCATGCTTTTTCACCAGCAATATTTCTAGTTAGCTCTTATTACACATAATCACCTTACTGTCTACCACCGACGCTATTAACCCCGACTTATGCTGTGAGCCTTCATTTCGATTAATTGCAGAGGAGTGGATACAGAAGTCAGTAAGATTCCAAATGTAATCAACTGCATAAAACTGTTTAAATACAATTTACAAAAGCTGATAAAAACTTCAAACGAGAGAAAGCAAACATATTTCAGGTGAACACCATAAAATTTAATTACATCGCATGGCTTGACCTATTACAATTTGTAGTAGATTGCATGATTAGGAAACTCAAACCCACGCCGTGTTCGTATAATGCTGGTAGCATGTTAATTCCATGCCATGCAGAACTGCAGTTCACAATGGTCCTATCTATTAATAAAAGACAGTGCCTAATTTCACCACTCCCAAGACCTGATATGTAAGACAGTTTTAATTAAACCCCACTGAAAGATCTCTATCATCTACACTGACTAACTGATTCTTATGTAGGATATGAGGATCTCACAGAAGAGTTATATCTTCCAGGACATAACACTGTGTAGTTGGTTAAAGTAAAGAGATACTTTGGAGGAACATGTCACCTCCATCTTTGGGATTGAATAAGCAAAGCAAGATATCAGTGTCAAGCACATAGAAACAGAGCCACGCTGAGGAAACTAAGGAAAAACATGACAAAAAATCATTCAGACATGACTTCACACTGAAATTCGAATCAAGCACCTTTGAAATACACATCAAAATCGTTGATTTTGCTATGAACATACAGCATCAAATGAATGATGAATTAGTAAAGCAGTCAAGAGCACAGGTGAACCAAGTAACCGCTTGAACACAGCACAATTTTACAGGTGACTCAATTTACCCTCCTTTAAATTAAAATTAATTGATGGTGACTTTTTATTCACATTGTAACCATTTAATTACCAGTAATCTACACGTTTTATGCAACAATGTCAATGAAACTGCTTTCAGAATTAAAACACCATTGACACATTCAGTCGCAATATCTGAACATTTTGTGTTACTGTGACTAGAGAAAGTTGATCTGCTTTTAATTGACAGGGATACAGGATCTCCCATCTCCTGGGGCAGCATTTAGGCTTCCATTGGTCCTGAAACTATCATCCTGCAATGCAAGAAAGAGATGTAGTGAGAACCCTACAGGCCACAAGAAGAGAAAACTTTGTCCATGCTGGGAACTGAGTCCTGATTTTTCTGTCATCCAGCTTATGGCTTAGGCTTCATAATGACTAACCTATCTTGGTTCTCACATGCTATGGTACTTATTTAAAAAGTGAACATTCATTTATCATGCAGAGGAAATATTTCTGTTCAAAGACAGGGAAATGGTATAAGATAAACTGTTTAGTAATACTACCATGCTGAATTTGAAATTTTATTCTGCAACTGATATAACAAGGCAAAGCCACTATTTAAGTATATTTTAAATGATCACAGTGTAACAACCACAACAAACTGTAAGATGAGACAAACTGCAACAAAATGTATGTTGAAAGGCTGGAACATCTTACTAGGAAGACCAATTCAGATTTAAGTTAGCATTTTCTGCAAGAAATAAAAAGTTGTGCATATACAATTAACAGCACAATGGCCCAACTTTAACACAGTTTAATTATGTAGCAGCAAACCCTAAGGCACATGCCTAATACCGGTACTTGTTTCTAATGTTCTATAAACAATGAAGTTGATAACTCCTCAAAGTGCACTCTAATTTCTTATAACAATGAATGAGTTGAATTCACTCTTATACTTGGTGTCATGGTTTGTATGACCACAGAGCTACAATCCTCATTTACAATATTTTGAAGTACTGACATTTTTTTCTGTATCAGAATCCCAGAATCAATATTATACTTGTACCAAAAGGCACATATTATTTCTGTGACAATTGTGAAAATTATAAAAATGAAGTAACATATTCATCTTCAAAATTAGATATGAAAGAACTTTGTTATCTTAACCCTGAAAATAACAGCACCTAAATTAGCAATGCTCATAAAAAAATATGCACACATTCTACAAACTCTGAAATACAGTTCTTATAACAGATATGAAACACAGACCTAACCCTTCGACCTCCACCTTGTTCAAGTGTTGACATACCCTCCAGACTTCTCTCTGTATTACATCTTAAACTTACAGGACATTCTTTGAGCAGGAAGGAATCTTTCAATATCAGCGTGAAGCAAATAAAACTAGAAACAAAGTATAGTCAGGATTTGTTCTGAAAGTGTTAAATTACTTTGACCATTTCCTGTCCGTCTTCTCTAGAGAATCACAGACTACTTACATCCAGTGAAACTTCCAAATAGCAAAATTCTGGGACATGAATATGTAGCCTGTTTTATGGCAGTTCATTAAATTTTAAAGAAGTTGTGGCCTATTTAGTTATATGGTACAAGCATTCTGCTGAGAATCTGGACTTTTCTTTTTGTTGCACAGTTGTTTCAGTTAAAATAAACTTTACAACATAAGAGTTGCATAATTTCCCACCAGCAATACAAAATATACACAATACATATAATATAACAGGGCTTTCTATCCCAAAGTACATTTTCTTGTTTTAAATTCTATGAATAATTTAAACATAATTATATTCTAATCAGTGACATGGGATAGAGCACTTATCTGAGAATTCATCCCCTAGTCACATATTCAAATACTGAACAGTGATAGAGAGAATATCTTTCATCTTCTGGCACTGTAGTTGTTTACTTTGTTGAGTCTAGCCTACCTCAGCCATATTACATATTTTATCTTATGAAAATACATGCTTTCCAAAATGGTGCTCTGTCTTTATGCTGCGCTTTTTTGTAATAACAAGACTGACCATGTATCTTGTTACTTAACAGTGACTAGTACTTTAGAACATAGTTCGCACATGGGCACCTTCAAAAGTTGCATAAGGTGAAATACAGAAATAGGAATATAATCCAGCTATAGTGAACCCCTGATACATGCATTTCTCAAAGACATATTGTCATTGTCATATACACATGGCAATGTTATTCTTTGGAGGGCATCAGAAATACAGCAGAGAAACATTAGACACTAAAAAGAGTGCCTATAAGTGGTGAATGCTGTGTCATAAAACCATCCACCCTCACAGGGCATTATATAATGAAGCACTTAACCTATTCACTTATACATATAATCAAGGATAACTTCAGAAGGATCATAACAAAATCAAGGGTGTATAATGGAGCAAATAGTGCTTTGAACAAGTCAATACCAGTACCAAGAATAACTTGTCCTCAAATTGTCTCAGGTATTTTGACTGACAATGTTTTCATTTTTATTTTGTATGAAGACAGTGGTTCCATCTCTGGCCCTATGATATAACAAAGGAGCAGTACAATACAATGAGATGGGTAGGAATTATTCCAAGTGTTTAGACTAAGATACATCTATTTAGTTTTGACACATTAAACATAAGCCTTCAGAGCACATCTTTACAGAATAATAACTGCTAACTATGTAACTAAATAATTTTGAATTAGTGCCTAGCCTACCGTGCAAAAATCTCCATAGTATGGAACTAAGTATTAACAGCAGAACTTCCAGTCAACATTACATACAGTCTGACATTGATTATTCACAGGGCAGAGAGAAACCTCTATAAAGCGTTTCTGTAATGCCTAGAATCAATAAATATTGCACTTTCTCGTGAAACTCATGTAACCACTAATCCTAGAGGCCCTGTTCTACTAATGCAAAGCACATCTTACATTCCACATACTGAAATTACAATTTATAAGTACTGTCTTCTATCATTGTCACATGGCATCAATTTGTCCCTTGGAGACATCATCATGTATAAAAACAATCCAATTTAAGAATGAAGAGTATCATCTTCTGGGGTGTGATGCTGCGTAGTTTGACAGAAGTTCATTGACATTTCAAAAAAAAATCCTGTCTCCATCTTTGGGATCATTCCTCCAAAATAATGAAATTTCCACCAGACTTCATGGTGCCACATCTTCATACTCACCGTCACAAGAACCTCCAACCTCACACAAATTTAAGAATGTTTAATGTAAAAAGTCTGAGGTACATTAAGTTTAACGTCAAGTGATTATGGGTGATGCAGTAGGTCATAAAGACTGTGAAAGTGTCAAAATGTATCAATTATAGTTCAGTAAATTGATCAACCCCTAAAATACTAACAGAAAACATATGGAAATACTAAAACAAGACAAATGTTTTGGAAGAATTAAAAACTGAATTAGTTTTAAGCTAGCATGTTAGACTATAAAACCAATGGATAGACCATAATGATGAAGAGGCAAATCTGCCAGACCTTGTGGAACAAGTATTCAAAGAATTATATGAGGCCATTTTGACTATTGGACAATGGAGTCCACAATGAGTCTCAACAAGTAGTATTATTTGATTAGTATTATTAGTATTATTTGATGATGATAACTATCTGAAATATAAAATAGTTTGGGTATTTTATTTTTTCAAACACCATTACTTATTACTAACATGACATTACACAAAAGCACGAATTTACCTAGAAAAAGTTACAATTTTCGAACAAAAAGCAATTAGAACAATCTATTTTAATATCAAGCAGCAAAAAGTTTAAAATGTTTTGAAGGAGAATCTAAAATAATAGTTTAAAGAGGAAGACTCATTAAAATTTACTATTAAAATATGTAAACAAGGTGGAAGATCAAATTAAAACTATATCTGTGGTGAGTGTCTTGCCTGTACGGATTGCTTGAGATAATAATAAATCAAATCAAAAGGCAACAGTCACTACAAGGACATAACACCAATATTTATTTCCATTTTTATAGAGAACCATAAAGTTATATAGGGCATGAGGAAATACACTGAGGTTTCACTGCAAAAGAAGAAATGAACAGCAGTTTCAGCACATCCAAACATATGCTGATATAACACTGGAGCAAACATTAACACAAGGGATCAACCCCAAGAGGCACTTCATTACCAACAAAATAAACTGGTGCAGGATTTGAGGTTCTTATGGTAGCGGCAATGAAGAGTATGGTATTCTGGGTTGTAACACCATGCAGTTTGGAGGGAATATGATGTTCAGGACGAACATATAACCCCAATCTTCTGAGCTGAAAAGCAAGCCGAACAAGAAACCAGCAGAAGCAGGCCACCAGTTGGCCAGTCAGCTTAACGCACTGCCTATTTAGCCTATTCTCTGATCCTGTTAATGAAGGGGATGTGTTCGTCCTAAAGGTCAGGATCTCTCTGACCTACACAGAATTACAACCCAGAAAATGGTACTCTTGAAAATAAACCGAGTTTGTAACGGCATGAACAATGACTAGCATGTAATTCAGATCAAATTAAGAGCATAAAGTGCTTACACAAATGTTTTTACAGTACATCATCAGTTTCTGAGTCATTGTTCATTAACTGGGCACACTGCTTAATTGATAAAACAGATCTGAAATATTCTGATAAAACTGGCTGCTATAAAACAAATACCTGCCATACTTCCTCAGAGTATTTCTTCCTGAATATCCTACATTCACTCAAGCACAGGAATCGACTCCAAGAACTCCAGATGCAAGTGCCATGCATGAGAAGATAACACATGGCAGAACTTCAAAGTGTGGGATATTATGGCAATGCAAGAAACATGAAATCTCATGCTGTGGGCAGGATTCAAACCCAACTGTCTAGTACTCATTTGGCATAAGGCTGTATGTGACTTAGACCATACAACCACCAAGTTCACATTAGTGATAGAAAAGGTAAAGCTGTCCCTTAATTAAGCACTCTGTTATGAAGGCATATGGGGGCGTATTTTCTTGACCTTGGCACTAGTTGGAGGTGAGTGTCAGTTTCAAGCCCCTGTCACTTTACCCCTGGGGAAAGAGCCCCTGGTGCCCATTGGATAGGAGGCTAAGTGAGCCCCAGAGCGAGTCTGGAAAATGTGGAGAAGAGGAAATTCGTGACCCTACCGGGGCTTGAACTCCAACCCCTCCGTTGTCCAGCCCATAGCCAGTCGCTATACCGACTACGCTATCCCGGCTCCTCTCCCATTAGTCATATCAAGAAGAAAATTAAAAAACCATTGTTAAATCTTGAAGTGTTCTTTGTTACATTTTTTAAAATATTTGAAATGAGATCCAATTGCATACAAATATTCCTGAAAGCAGTCTTTTGTAATATATGCATTACTTGAACTATGAAACTCTTTTTTTAATTACTGAATGGGATACCTCTTAACTGTCTTTAATGAAAACAACCCTGGGAACACTCACTCTGACAGGATAGATACCAAAAACTGGGCATTAACACAAAATTACAAACTATAATTTAAATCTAACACTTATATTCTGGCAAGTTATTGGGCTCACTGAAAATTTAACACTCTGATGTCAGTGGAGTATTAATGGTATACAGAATTTTCAGTAACTACTGCTTGAGAGTCCCTGTGGACTAGAGAAATGTTGGGGATGAAAATATGTAAATCACTGTTTGTCAGGCTTTACTGATAAAAAGTAGCAGTATTACACATCAGCAGATATGCATATGAAGTCAGCCACAATAATACTGTCACTTTTACTGCATACTGTCAATATTAAGTGAACATGTTACGATACACAGCACTACAGCAGAAATTCATTAATACCTGAATAGCACTATGACCAATAAAGGAACTGTGAACCCTTTCAGACCCAAGGAGTGAGAAAGAAGCCTTCTTTTCTTCTTCATTATCACCCATTTCTTTCTCAATCTACATGTTATTCTTTTTTATTATTATTTCCAATGCCTCTTCCTTTACTTTTCACATTCCCTCTTCTTCCTCTTCAACATGCTGACCTGCATAACTGTGTGTTCAGTGTCTGAAACAGATAATGTACAGGCACTTGTCCTGTCAGAGTTTCAGCAGCCATAGACGTTCCTTCTAGCTGCAAACAACTGAACAGATGCATACAATTAATAATAAACTAATTTACCTGAGCTAAATCCAAGCAGATAATTCTGTAGCATAGATGAATGAGTCTGCTTTTTTTTTTCCTTTTTTTTGTGTGTGTGTGTGTGTGTGTGTGTGTAAACTGAATTATGTGCATTTATTGTGTGGATTTATTTCATTTTGAAAAGCAATGTGAACGTCATTATGGGCACAGAATAAATAACACTACAATAACTCTTCCCAAATGGTCACAAATTGTCATAATTTGCAAGTTTTCCACAGTCACATACATTTCTTATAAGACCACATAACATCACAAAACATTATCAGTACAAATGGGAACAGTTAATACTGTTCTTGCCTAATGCCAACAGCGTGGCATAGTGGACACACCATTATGCATTAAATACTTAATATTATCTTGTTTGAAACTATTACCTCAATGTCTGTGATTAAATCAAAAGAGCTACAGAGGAAGCTGATGCCATGGAAATAACAGCAACTGTAATGGGAAAAATAACAACTGCTGAGAAAGGTCACAGCCTGTTCACAAGGTGTACAGTTGCACAGCGCTCCCTCTTCATACCTGATCACAACACGAAACTTTTTTCCCAAGTTTCTCCTATTGAAATAATGTACTTCAATTCAATGTTAAGAGTATGACAACTGCTCTATAATCATGAACTGGTAAGCAAATTCTGTATTTCTTATATTTTTCTCCTGGCATCGTTTTCATTATACATGTTTTATTGAATGCAAAATCTCCAAGTTTCATGCATTACAGAACATAAATTTATGTTCATTAAAGTATATTTAACAAGCCAATTAATATTCCAAAGAAAAACCTGGGAAAATAAAATACCATATTTTATCACATAATTCATGACTTTTTGTTAAATTAATTCTCATTCTTAATTCTTACAAAATAAAGACTGTAATAAAATATGAAGATAGTTTCAACATAAAGGTACAGCATCAGATTTCAAATTCACAGATGGGTGGATAAGTAGAACAAGCAGCAAACAATATTTGAAACAGACTGGCAAGAATCATTACTAATCATCACGTGATTTGCAACATAACTATACAGCCAAACAAATGCTGCAGTAATTTGTGGATCACATTAAATAAATGTGACATAAAGACCGAATGAATAAATACAAGACATAAGATTCTTAAGGCACTGCAGTTTCATACTGTGGTCTTTTGCATTATGACAAGGCGTAGTCTGGTAAGTGGGTATTAATCTTTTTAGTAGGAATGTACCAAACTAGAAGACCACAATATCACTGCAGAGTATGAGTATATGAAGAGTTAAATATAAAATATAAGATGATGTTTGTTAAAACTGAACATTGTATAGAACCTATCAGATTTTTAGAGAAAATATTTCACTTTTCTGGTTATTTTCCAATGATTACTTTTATACATCCTTGCATAAATCATACATACCCAAGATTTGGGTATGTAAATTTGGAAAAAATTCAGTATGTGAATTATATGATAAAATATGGAAAATCAATAAGTACAGTAAATATTTTAACATATTTTCAGTTAGAATACATATAGTCTGGGTGAAATATGTGATGTTATCCTTCTGTCACTATACAGACGCATTCTACTCCAGTAACTGGCTCCGTCTATCACAAGTAACATAGCTCACCATTATACTTGGGCAATATAATATATGACATGCATTTCAAGTGACTTTAGCACCATGTTCCATTTCAATAAAATGTTTCGTTACAGCAGACATGCCTTAATTAACAGCTCTATAAGAATGTTGTAATATATTATTCTTGTGAGCAAAATTCTGGTATAAGAAAGGCCATGAACCACTCTCACCTAGCTGATGGAATGAGTCAAGATGTGGGCTTCACAATAATAATTTGATTACTTGCCGTTTTATAACAAGATTTCATATGAAGTTGGGCCAATGCATCCAGTTCTTAACAATTTACACAACTGTATGTCCATATCTCTACAAAATGCAACATACTTTTGAGCATTAAAGCAAACTAAAATGGCTTACCACAACCACTTTCAATGACAATGATACTTACTCTATACAGATGTCTTTGTCTTTGCTTATAAGATGTTTTACATCTTCCTTCTGGTGTCTAGCTAGTGCCATATTTGCTACTTTCAAACACTCCTTTACGGAAGAACGCAGAGAACTCGAGTAGGGCCAGCTTCGTGGGGTTTTCTCGACATGAATAGAGGGGACAGCTCTCCATGTTAGAACACACATCTAGCAGGCACCTTATATAATCTTCTAACTGTTTTCTTCGTTGCCGAGTAAGTGATTCTGAATTTTTTGCAAAGAAACGCCTAGGAGGGAATGCAAGAGCCTCCACCTATAATAAGAACAGCAACAAGTTTAACAAACTGCATGGTATAAGTCATCAGGTGAGTGTTCAGACTGTGGTCTCCTGAGTTTGAACATTATGCAGTACTATATGTGAATAGTATTGTTTCAGGGGAATATTCTGCCTCCATTTTCAGGGCTGAAGTGAGTGTGGTGAGATCTTATCAGATTACATAGGAAGGCTGTAAATAACTGTCATAGGAGGAACATGTAACTGTGAGACCAGTCCAGGCCAATAAAAATGGTGAACAGGAAATGCCTTGGTCCTTTTTCTTGAATTTCCTGCTTACTGTTCCTATTGGCCTGGACCAGGCCCATAAATCCACGCCCCTCTTATAAGTTTGCAGGTCACTTATAAAGGCCATTTTTAGCCTACTTTCCTTATTTAAAAGAATAAAAGCAAGCTTATGAGATCATCTTACTGTCTGTGTCCCCTTTCGTTGCAGGGTAACAGCTCAATAAACACATTCCCAGGTTACCACTATGCAACTGCTGGATAAACATGTTCCCATGGCAGCTAGTACACATATTACAATAGAAGAACTGCTGGATGCAGTGTTTTCTATGCAGTTTATGTCTTATAAAATAAACAATATGTAGTGAAAGGAAAGCAGGCAATTAGTTCTTCCCAGAATGTCCTGTCTGTTCGCACAGTTTCTGTTTGGCATTGGGCTCCATTTCCTCTTCTTCTTCTGCAGCTCTGAATGGCCAAGTTACTAGTAATTTGTCTGTATAAGGTATCTGCATCCTCACTGCACTCTACCTGATCCTGAGGAAGGAGGCATCATGTTCCTCCGAAATAGAGGTATATACCTACAATACTACATGCTGTCACAACCAAGTAGACAAGAATTCAAAAGTATATAGTATTAACACAAATTGGGGCATTTCATTTACATTTAGTCATGAAATCCATTTCAGTTACTAATGATTACCTCAAGAACATATCAAATGAACAGTTTCTAGCCTGCTCATTATTTATTGATATATATGCAAAGTTTATGTAGTCTGTCTTGAGTGACAAATTTCAGTAAAGATTAAAAAAACACCATATGTTCATCCAGACTAGAGCTGAAAGACAGTCAAATTGATGTGCAAAACATTACAGGCTGTCATAAATTGTTGCAAAATTTGAATAACAATTAATATTACATAAAATAAATACTCAGGGAAGGAGCTACAATTGCTGTGACTCTTGCAGCTGCACATGTGTAAAGAGCAAATTCCCAAATTTAGAGTCAAAATTTGGAAACAACAATTTTATCCTCAGTATGAACAAGAATCGAAAAATGAACTGTGTCCTGAATAGTCATTTTTTATGAAAGTTACTGTAAATACTAGGAGGATTTTCCTCAGAAGGTTTAAGCACCAAGATCACTTCATTCACCACTGATTCAAGGTAAATGTCAGGACAGTACCTTTATTACTGCTCACATACAAATCCTCTAAAATTCATTATTCATTAGTCTTCCTAGCATTCAATACTATATAGTCTGAGACACTCATAGCACAGGAGTCAGAATAGCTAAGTCAGTACAGCGATGGGCTATGGACTGGGAGACTGGGGTTCGAATTCCAGCAGAGGAAAGATTTTTCTCTTCTCCACAACATCCAGACCACATATGAGGACCACCCAGCCAGCCTCCTATCCAATGGGCACTGGGGGCGATTTTCCCAGGGATAAAGCAGCAGGGGCACAAACCTAACCACCCACCTCCATCTACTGCCAAGGTCAAGAATAGTTGAGCTACAGCTGCACTTTACTACATATCTTAATGGCACAGTGCTTAATTAATTGAACACAGAGTTGGCTTTACCTTTTAATCATAGTATCATAAAATAAACCACAAAACCACACTGACTGAACAGCTTTCATGCATTTGGTAATAGAGTACACACGATTAGTTTCATCTGACTGCTGGTATCTTATAATGAAACTGCAAAATGCCTGAAACTGTAAAAGCTGTATATGCAGGATAAGTAATCCTGGATAGGCACTCACCTGTGAGCCATACTTTTCCTTCATATTCATGTGCAACTCTCGAAAGCGCTTGTAGCGACGTAAAAGAGACCAGCACTCTCCACCCATATTTACACGAACCTCATACTCATAATGGGTGGATGGACCAGCCCCACGCAGCACGTAACTTGGGATCTGCACCCAGTGTACTACCAAGTTGCTGTTTGATGGTGATGGAAAGCTCAGGTTCAGTCCAGGTGAATTCTCCATGTCTCGGCTCTGTAACGAGTGGCATGCTATGTGCATACTGGGATGTAAGCACGCTATTAAACTTGGATGAGCAAAATTGTAATTTAATCCAAATTTTGGGGTTCTCAATTTGATCTATTGAGACTTTTATTTTCATTTTTGGTAATGACACATGCTATTATGGGCTCAATGGAGAAATTAAAAGTTCTGAAACAATGGCTACCTAACCCATCACCCGGTTTCTTTAATGAAACACTGTTTACGGTATAGTATGAATATGAATGATAAACGGAGATGATAAAAGTTGTCTTGGACTATTTTAAGGTAATATACTTGGAGAGATCATGATAAAGTACAGGAAATCTAAGTCAGGACTGAGTACTGATCGAAATCTGAATAAATCATCTCCCAGATATGAAGCCATGAGACTCATGATGCTGAAACAGTTAGTGACCAGACCATCACAATGCATCATCATCACCCCGAAAAGAAATGCAAATACAAAGTTATAACTTAGATTTCCTACTTCCTGTACCTTTTTCATCTTACTCTGTAATGCTGGTTATACAGAAAGACTACTTGACAACTGTGGTTGCCTTTCCATTATAAACCACCACTGCAATACCTTCCACCTTTCCAACCTGTCAGCTGTGATGTTGGCGACACTGGAGCAACACCACAAAGTGAAGGTTATGTCTACCAATTAATTGTACTTGCATAAAGATCAGGGTTCATAATTCTCCATGTAATCAGAGTACACCAAATACCATCTTTTACATTAGGAACAAAGTCCATGTAAGCTATGCAACGTGGATTTTCTGTGTTATCAATAAAATAGGAACAGGTCGTTTTTTTCTGTATATGAAACCTGCTAATACTGACACAACTGTTAAATCAGTTCACAATAGCAAACTTTATACAGTGTTCACATTTTTTTAGATAAGATTTTATTTTATTTTAATGGAAATGTGAACAAACAAGATAACGTATACTGCGGGACAGAAAATCCACATCTTATTGTCTACATGAAGTCCTACTCCATAAAATACACTTGGAATATGAAGGCTATAAGCTCTATACTTTATGGAGGTGTAATTAATGCTGAGAAACAAATGAGAATGACCTTGCAAAAGGGCCAGTAACCTTCAATGTAGATGGAGCTGACTGAGGAAAAAACTGTCACAACTAACATAATGATTGCACACAGAGGAAAGACAGAGTCCTAGCTTGGCCACCAAACAGTTTAGCTGTACAATTAACTACCTTTCTTACTACAGTGCAAGGGTCAAGAATGAAAAAGTTTCAAATAAATCCTAGACAGAAACAGTGAAACTTTTTCTGATAATTCAAATTAATAACTAATTTTTAATAATACAATTTACTGCTGTCATGTTGCTACATTAGCAGATAGACAACCTCTTCAATAACAAGCACTTCACTCTCAGTGGTATATATTTCCCTACACAACATATGTCATCAAGTAATTTAAGTTCTGTTATTCTTAACTGTGGCATATGGAGAAAACAGATCTGCAAACATTTCATGCAATTCAATTCTTACATACAAAAGACAAAATCACTGAAAGATTTCAGCACTGATGACTGAAAGGGATAACAGGAGATGAAAAATCCAACAATGAGGAGCAAGTGAGACAGCACAGCATTCTGAACAATTCAGCACAAAACATCCTATGGCATTTTACACATCATGCAATATGACCTTGCAGCCATGTAAATGTGACAGCTGATATGTTGTGCCACACTGAAGAAACATCATATGGAAATCTTAAAGTATTTGTTTGTAGACTGCATGACGGCTGATGTTACAGCATTTAACAAATGTGTGTTACATATGTAATGAATTTTCATAAACACATACAAATGAATTTTAAGATTGTGATGGTGCATCTTTAAATTTAAACATATACCAGGACATAGTCCATCCTTTCCCGTTCATTAAACAAACACAACATTTTAGGAACTGGCTCTATTTTTGCCATCACACAAAAATACAGAACCTACTCAGGTAACTGTAAATGTCAAAGACCAGTAATGGAATATATCTTTCATTATATGCCAATGTACTGGTTCACACTAATATACATATCAAGAATTAAAATATCATCAACTACGGTGACTAAATTTTCACGAGATCCTACCCATGTCTTTACACTAAATTTGAACACTTACAGAAGGGGATGGGCAGTAGGTAGCACTCACTGGTGACATCAGTCTGTCTCTGTTGACAAAAGAATTATGAAGCAGTTAGGAAGTACAAAGACAGTCTTCAGGCTCCATCATTCAACACATTTTTCAAATATTGTAGTGAGACCTAAACAAAACAAGATTCTGGGGCCACAGGCTTTATCATAAAAAAATTCTTTATATACAGGTTATAATCTACAAATGTATGTATCTTGCCAATATCCAAGACACTGCATGGAAAGTGAATAAAACAGAGGGTTCATCATACATACATTTACAAAGACATGAACACTAGACATGGTGGTAAAAAGGTAAAACTACTTCATCTCCAAGAACTAGCTACTCAACAGAAGAAAATCATTATATGTAAACCATACAAAAACAAAAGAAGTAAGAAAGACTAAGATTAATTATTTAAGCTTCAGATATACAAAAATATTTAATCAGATATTATTAGATCAGATTATATTATATTAAAGGTGTGGGTGTTAAATGACACTTGAACCATGATTGTATTTTACAAAGAATCATAAAATTTCCAGTAACACAAATTCAAGATACTTAAATTCTTATAATAGAAGACTGTTTTATCCACACAGCTATTCACATCCATATACTTCATCCATTATGGGAACAAGGGTAACATCATTATCAGTTGTGACATAGGCTGTTACATCATCACTGGAAACTTACTTGATTCTACTTTCGGCATATATCTGGTGCCAGCAGGAAATTCAAACATACTTACAGAAGACTTTTCTTTCATAAAGTTGCCTACACAAAGTATAACATACCCTGGTTCATACAGTAGGCAGACTTTAACCAGATTTCAATTTAATTTAATTTTTAAAAATATCCACATAATATGGAAAATGATGAGTGAAGAGAACATCTTTGAATATCTGTAACCACTGCTACAAAGCAAAGTTTCTGAAAAACACACTGTCAAAAGCAGTTACAAGCATGTCTGTTTCTTTCATATAACAATACTTAACGAAGTTATGTGGTTTTGGCACAGGTTTAGAATAAGTACCTGTTACAGGCATCTGTACTAGAAGAATGTAGAAATGACATTCTGTCAAAAGTTAGTTGGTTAATAGGTTTATAGCAGACTGGTCTACACTCATTATACTGGTACATAATTGTCAGCATATTAACAAAATCAAAAACCAATTATATTTAAACATAACCTAAATTTTGGTAGTGACATTTCCTCCAGTCTAAATGCAATGGTTATACCATCATGACTTGGTTACAAGAGCATCATTTGTAGTAACAGGGCATAAAACATGAGGTTGATTTTATTTAGTGGACTCTTTTTACACTTTCAGCATCTAGACTAAACAGTTATGTATGGCTGCACAATCGATAAATTAGTCATGATTTTGAAAGAAGCAGTCCTATCACGGTATTGGCATGAAGGAACTTCGGAAAACTGAGCAAATCCCAGATCACCTCTGGATCATTACTATTAGGCCAGCCTGCTCAGTAAGAGTATGACGCTGGCAATAGGGAGTGGAAGATTTTGTATTACACATTCTATCCCTCACACTGTCCCTCTGTTCTACCTGAATAAAACCCCTAACAAACATGTAAATGACAACTTGACTTATGAATTTAGCCAAACAAAATGGAAACACATAATTTTTGTGATTTGTTGATACCACACTAATGTGTTAAGTGAATAAATTCCATGCTATTTACATTTCCACATTATGATACATACTGTGTAATTCTCTGCTGATGTCGATGTTCAAGCAACTGCTGGCAAACTGGACTCTCGCTGTCACTATGAAAATCCTCATTATCCAGCTTCATGGTGTCTCCTAGCAGATCTGACAAACTGTATCAATCAAATCTATTACATTTAGATTTCAAGCATCATAAAAAATTTAAATTAATTTATTTACTTATGTACTGTTCCAGATTTCTTCACTGTATTTTACTCCACAAAGTAAAGACAAATTTTTGCAAGATATGTAATTATGATGAGAAGCGCAACTCCATGATGTTTAAATGAGTCATGTCCCATTAACATAACTTGTAAAAGATAATGTACGTAGAATTCAACACATACAACACAGTCTGTGGTGTGTTTATCAAATGTGTTCACAATAGTAATAATAATTTAGTAAGTGCAGTGCTGATTCCCCCAATAATAATCATTTTTATTCAATGCTTCACATGCACTACCTGAATAATTATTAATATCCATAGATTTACCCTCACTGTCCCAGAACTGCCATCAAAATCTGTTTGCTTATAGGATTTTAAAACATCTTCACATACAAGAAATTGTGCATACATCATAAGACAAATTTTCTGCAAATGTTTATTTCTAATAATAAGCTGTGGCTAAAATTAGAATTATCATACATCAGTCTATTTCCAAGAGTTGTCCAAAGATTATGAATATAGGAATGAATAGAGGAAATACAATCAAAATATTAATATTGTAAATATTAAATTAAACACATTCCACTGCAGCAAAAAGGTATCACCAGGGACCAAAATTTAGTACACTCACAGCAGTGAACATATTAATGAGGTTAAAGATGACAACTGCATCATATGAAGGTGAAAAAGGATTTAGTTTGTGAGGTTTATAGACTGCATCCTGTTGTGTATATAATATTTAATTGCTTATATTATGACTGTTGACACAAGTAGTATGGGAATATCTTCAATGAAAACAATAGGTGTTGGTATATATCTTACATTCTTATTATAAACGTAACTGTGCTATATGTTTCGACCATATAATTAGGTCATCAGGCACTCATGTACATAACTCAAGTGATTAAAACTGGTTATAACACAGATCCAGATTCTTGCAACTGATGGTTGTGTTGCTAGCAAATATATATGAGGTATATATATCACCAATTTAGTATACAATTCATATTATGATATGATTAAAAACATAAAGATAAAATGAAAATGTGAAAATAGAAATATTCAAAAATATAAATGGCATAAAAATTATTTGTATGTTGTATTTAAAATAGAGATTTGCTGCTGTGCTTGGTCACATGCAATCTCCAACTGATGAGTGTTGGTTGCTGAAAGGGGGGTGGGGTTTATGTTATATCTCATTTGTTGTCATGTAGATCAAATATGCTATTGTATGGTATAAAGTCTGATTGTTCTTTCTTCCACTTTTTACTGTTATCCTAGGTTATCATGGAAGCTGAGGTGTTTTAGAAATGTAGGTTTTAATGTTGTCCCCTGTTGATGTTTATGTAGCTGCAACTACAACCCCAATATGCCTTCATGGCATGGTGATTAACTAAACAAAGGGACAACTCTAACTCTCTAACCCTAACATACTACCCCTTCAGTTGTTCTCACACTTCCTCCACTACTAAGATTGCTAAGTGTTGCAAATGTGTCTATGAAATACAGCTTGGATCCTGAATACTGACCCATCATCAGCTGACGTGGACATGTCATCTGATGCCTCGCTGTTACACCTCACTGGGCTCTGAGGCTGTAGAGGCCTCAGGTTATGCTGTTCCAGAGCCAATTCCAAACGAACATACTGTCGCTGGAGCTCCTGAAGTACCTGATTAACACACACAAAATTCTGATTCTCTAAAATACTCAGCTAGTTGCCTGAGTATATTTCACATATGGTAACAACATGTTCCGCGAGTTGGCTCCATTCCTGTCTTTAAGCTATTGCTTCTCATTACACTAATGTATGACTGTCACGGTTTCCTTATTATTGTTATTAGAGGCAAAGTTAGGACCCAACAAAGCATGCTCTAAATATTAAACTTGTGTGGTAATCACAGCTTAAAAATTTCAGGAAATGTTAATCAAATACTTTTCAGAATGCTTTGCAAATTTTCTGGTTCACCCCTGTGGTGTAGTAGTTGGCATAATGAATATTCTGTTCAGAGTATGTCAGGCTCGGTGCCAAGTTCTGCCACCAATATAAAGAATAAAGCAGAATAAAATATATGTCACTATTATGACAACCAGACACCTTGAATGCCTTCATTACTTGGATATTTTTCTGGTAACTGCATGAAAATAAACATAGAAACTATCAATAACATGTTAATATTTAAATCTGAAATTAAATATAAAAAGAATGACTGATTTATTGCAAGATACAATCAAATTCAATAAAAGCATGCTGTCACATTATGTGCCACTTTTATTGTATAAAGATATACCTGGGACGAGGATCCTAAAAATCTGGAAATTTCTCTACCATTGACATCAATAATTTTACTACTTACAGCTATTTGATTGTTGAGCTCAGCCTTATCACAGTCATTCTCCAGACTCTGCATGATCAGCATCTTTAGGTCGGTTACTCGCTGACAGAGCTCTTTCATCACTCGCATTGCATCACTCACACAGATGCAATCAGGATTAGACGACTGCTGAATAATCTGGTTTATTCTCTGACTGTCTGGAATGTACTGCAGAAGATACAGTATTATTTATATCCTCGTGTGTTGGAATTATGTTTTATTATGACTATTATAAGAGCTGTACTATTCTGAAGCAGGATTAATCCCATAAATGAATAAGTATACTAACTCATATATACACTCTATAAGCAAAAAGAAGAGCGGTTTTTACACTAAAGCAGGCAATACATATAGGAATTACTGTGATTTTAGGATTAAAAAGGTTAAACAGTCAGTTTATTATAATCATAGAGTGTAAGGAATTTAATTGACCATCACAGGATTAAATTTGACACATGAAGATACCACAAACCTGTGAACTTTATTAAATTTTTTTCTATAAACAATGAATTTTCTTTCTCTTTCATTATCAACTACCAATATCTTACTAACCTTCGTATGTGTATGAGATTTGCGTTGCCTTGTGTTGCTGTGAATCTCTGTGGGAGGTGAAATTTTCTCAAAAGAACTGGTAGAATGTTCAGAATTAACTACTCCATTGCTACCTACTGCTGCCCTCAAGTAGTTGTCTTCAGTACTAGATAATTCATCACTGTCATCAGAGCCAACAGATGCCACTACATGTCCCACACTTCCAGCATTTGCTTGTTGCGCACTTGGCCTCTTGGCCTCACCAATCACAGCATGACACTCCCCTACCACTGAGCAGGGTGACGATGCAGTGTGGAATGTCTCAGCTGTGTCAAATGAGCTGGAAATGGTGTATGAAGATTCAGATGCTTTTGCTGCAGCAGCCAATGAATTTGCTTGAACTTCACCAGAATTGTCATCTCTATGTACACTGGCTGTTTGTGTTGGTTGCTTCAAATCAAGCGACATACTGCCACACAAAAATATATAAATAAGATTAAATAATATTTCAGAATTTAACAAAAGTGAGTGCATTCAGTAAATCAGTTCTTTAAAATCTGAAACATACGACTGTTTTCGCTGCCATATCTCTTGTAGCTGCTCACGCGTCCGTCTTGCTAGAAACTCCTTTGTAGCTTCTAACTCCAAGTCACCGCCCTGCTGACATTAAGGTTCAAATTCATATACAGAGAGTTAAGAGGAATTCTACATACAACTTTCATTGGCCATAATATCAAACACTTCGGATTACAGTCTTCCAGAAGGTGATGCCGTGCAGATCGGTAGACAGGTGCCAACATTTCAGAGAAACCTGCTGTCCACTTTCTTTCCAATCATATCCCATAAGACTGTAATCTTAATACTCTCTGCCACAGGAACCTTAACTCCTATCCATTAATTTGTACCTCATTTTTCCAGTATTTCTAGTACAGAAATGACTAGATCCAAAAATATCATGTATGAGGTTTCCTGCTATCATACAACTCTATCTGCATCCACACTAGATACAAGCATACAGACACTTATGAGAGAACCAAATACTGAATCAAATGGGCACACACAAAAACATAAATGTAAAACATATCTTGAGACTGTTATTAAAAAATAAAGTATTCCATAAAAGAAAGGTTCATAAAAGGATTAAGAAACTATGCTTTACTGCCCACAATTTCTTCATTTGAAGCACTACTAATACTGTCTGATGAGCTCTACTGGACTCTTTCATGATACACAGAGATCCCCGGTTTTTGGACTTTGTCCATCGTCCGGATTCTTAATAACTAAGAAGCATACATGGACGATGGGCAAAGTCCGAAAACCCAGTATCTCTGTGTGTTATATACCATCATTAAGGACAATGGACAAAGTCCGAAAACCCAGTATCTCTGTGTGTTATATACCATCATCAGAAACCTACAGTATCTACTTCTTTCATGATATTGTGACATGGATGACACCATAAACATACCATTCCACATATATCCATGGTGTCACAGTGAATAGTTGTACTCGTGATTGTGTAAGCGGAAGAACAATAAAGGTTCTACTTAATTTGAGGCCTACATGAATCTATTTGTAGCGTGACACACCCAACACGCTACAATATAAAACAGAACCAAAGTGTTGTGTGATGGCATAAAAACCCTGAATGAATTAATCTTTTTAAATTACTATCAGTATCAGTGACAGAAACAAAAGTAATTTGATGTACAATGCACTTCATGTTGCAACTGCTTAGGATTCACATCATCACAGCCTCTCTTTAGAAAGAGATTTTCTGCAGAATACAGGTTCTCTTGTTTTTGCCATTCTATGTACTATCCATGGGGAAGTAACTAAAACCAAATCAATATTCAGCAAGTATACGTTGTTTTTAAGACAATTAAAATGTCTACATAGATGCAGGAAGTATGACAAAACTTACATTCTGCAGTGTCGTAGTGACTGTCGCTAATGCTGAATCAAGACGACGAACCTCACTTTTCCTATCAGTTACAGACTGGACCCTGCTCCTCAACTCTGCTTCTAATGACATTAATTCCTGGCACTGAAATCACCATAACAACATTGATTTCTAAAGATAAACATGGAAAAATAATCATATGGACTAATGGAAGGGCGAGGAAAGATAAGTACCTGAAAAACACACATAATCCAAAAGGTTCTTTCATGTTGTCAACTCATGCAAGTATTATGAGGTCTGACAATAAAGTTCGCGAACTCATCAACGTGGGCTTGCCATGGCAGCAGTGGACAGAAACTTCAATATGGTTTGATAACGTTGGCATATCAACGTTTCACAGCTGTGTTGTTGTTGTTGTTGATTTATGGCAGTCTCTTTATGAGTGGCATCCATTATTGTCCGAGTATTTTGGTGTCTTGCATCACAACAATGCACCTGCTTACATGGCACTGTCTGTGAGTGAGTTCTTAGCCAGTAAACACATAACTGTGGTGGGACACCCTCCCTATTCACCGGATATAGCCCCCAATGACCTTTTTCTGTTCCCAAAATAAGAGAAATATTGAAAGGCATTTCAATGGCATTGATGACATCAGGAATAATATGACAGCAACTCTGAAGGCCATTCCACAAAACCAGTTCCAAAATTGTTTTGAAGGGTGGACTAGGCACTGGCAATGGTGCATAGCTTCCCAAGGGGAGTATTTTGAAGGCAACCACAGTGATATTCAGCAATGAGGTATGTAGCACTTCTACCACAATGAGTTTGCGAACTTTATTGTCAGATCACGTACATCGTAGTATTACTGGTGTCAGTAAAATATTAGCATACAATGACAACAATTGGAGGTTTGGACGTGGGGGATATTCAGGTCTTACATCCCCGTTTAGTTTTCTGTACCCAACTTATAACAGTAAATCTTGGAAACGAAAAGTGAGAGATAGAAGCTCAGTTATATGATAATACAAATTGTCAATAAATTCAACAAATAATAACAATTAAATGAACAAAAAATATCTTGCTACAGATATTCTGAAATCTTCATACAATACTAATTATGTGCATCCTGTTAAGCGTTAATTAGAATATATGCAAAACTTCTGCAAAAATCTATCTGCTATTGCAATGTTAACATTATTGTCTTCTAGAATGTGACATCATATAGTCTGGTAGATAGATACCAAAGCTTGAAATGAACCTATCACATAGCATGTGTCAAATCTCAGCTGTAATAGTAATCTCAAATAGACTGTCATTTTAAAATAAGAAAAGTATACAGTATCCAGATATCTGAAAGGGGCTGGCACAGTGGTCAGTCTCATTTTTAGAAGATGCTCAGTTTCAATCTTTGTTTTAGACCAACTATCTTGACCACAGTTTTTCATGGTTTACCTAAGTCCCTCCCAGTAAACAAAGAAGTTCTATCTTGAAAAGAGAAGCAACATGCAATTCCTTTCAAGTCCTTCAAAATTCATAATCACATTGTTTTTAGGCACCACATAAGTTAGACAGGCTGGTCACGGTAGCCGAGTGGTATAAGGCATGCACTGTCTTCACTCGCTCGGAAGCCGGGATTGTAGGTTCGAATCCCACTCAGGGCATGGATGTTTGTGTGCGTATTTCTGTGTTTGTGTACAGGTATAGGCCTTGCGACGAGCTGATCACCCACCCAAGGAGTCCTACCATATGTCTAAGATCTAGAAAAACGGAAGTGAACAGAGAAGTTGATGGAGGTAGGCCTAGGCAGTGCCAATGAAAAAAAAAATAAGCTAGACAGTTGACGAAAGCATAATTAAACATCATGAAGGGAATGATTTTTGATAGATGTAAATCCCTTTCAACATGTCCCTCAAAACTCACCATTTAAAATTTACGATACAAGTTTTCCAATCAACTCCTGGATCTCAAACAGATTTAGCTAAACACCCAAAAATAATCTTGTAGTGTTGCATCCCATCTGTGATGCTTAATTAAAAATGGACAGCTTACCAACATACAAACAGTTGATTTTATTAATCAATTCACAACACTTTTTGGCTCAGACAGGCCATCATCGGGTGATTCTTGAGGAGTACACAAATGGTGACGGAGTACACATACCTGTATAATGCTACTATAAAATTTTTTGTTAGACACTTAAAAAACATTTGTTTGTGTGATGGCAACTCCTCCAGTTTTAATTTTTAACCCCAAAAGAAGATAAGATCACTCATCCAGAAGTAACAGAGATTTAGCTAAGCACTCACATGCATACTGACAAGATCTCTAAATGCCTCAGTTCCTGGGTCACCAGCTGTAGCAAGACTGGACCATGACTCAGAACTTGAGTCATCTGTCCTGGCCCCATTCTTCTCCAAACACTCTGCAGCAAGTATCTACAACATAAACATGATATGGCAGGATGGACTGAATCTATCTGTCTCAACCATATGGGCTTATACAGAACTGAGCTTGATGAATGGAGAGCAGGCAAGGATCTGGAAGGTGACTGTCACTGCTTATCCGATGATTCAAACTGAACATCCTAAGGAAAACTATGAGAACCTGAGGTAGGATAACCTTTAACCTGGTCAAGATTCAAACCAGGTACATCCCAAATGTAAGATTAGAATCCTACTGCTACAGAAACTTGTTTGGTCAATTATATGTACATATAACACAAAGCACCAGCCAACATGGGTGCTCAGCACTATTAGACCAACCAATGTAAATACTATCCACACATACAGTAATGATGATACCATCTGTTAAGGACGGAGTTATAAATAAGACCTGATCAATATCAGAATGAATACAGTATACAGACATTATCAGTTTAGTAAAAAATATGCTTTTGGCTTATTATATATAATTTTATTCCTTTTCCATAGAAAACAATATAATCTAGAACAACTTTTTTTTATAAATTTAACAGCAATTTTTTGCTGCCAGTCTGAAGCCTTCTCCAGTTGGCTTTAGTTGCTGCCTGCATAACTATGAAAGACATTAATTACTTTCTACACTGCAGAGCAAGATGCACAGTCTGACAATTAAATCACCAAACAGATTCTTTTCTTTAAATCTTGTCACTATGACTGAGTTCCATCTCCTTCAAAGTACCTGTTTTACAAACAAAACAGTGCATCACTAAACACTCAATGCAACTATTCAAAAACTGAATCTGTATGACTAACAGAAAACTAATGAATTAACAAGTCACATGACCTGACATACTCTTAACTCATTAAAGCTGCCAATTACACATACTCATATATCACTCAGGTTATTTAACTGTCAGACTTCATACAGCTGAATACATTAGGAGACAATACAAACAAAATGGGCATAAACATCTGGCCAAGGATAGCATATCTAAACCTAAAAGTCAAGAAGTAAGAAAACCACAGAGAAGAGAATTTCTGAGACCAGCAAGGGCATCAAGATGCCTAATTTGTTAAAGAAAAGAAGAAAATAATATTTCAGAGAAACCATCAACAACTTCACACACTGCTGATATAAACTGCACCCAGTAATCGTAATCCTTTCCAGTACTAGGCCTATTGAGAACTGTTATGGATATTACAAAACAGAAACCTTCCAGCACCTGTATATAAACACTGCAATAACATGAGATATTCATTTTCTTCCAAAGGGCCAAAAATATTGAGCATCACAAAAATCAAAATTATTTAAAAAGTATCACATTCTTGAATCTGGCCCTACTTTGTGTATATGCACGCATGTGTGTCAGAGAGAGAGAGAAGAGGGGGAGACAGACAGGCACATACACACAGAATTCAAAGGCATGTCAGCACCTAAGGCTATTTTTATCAGTCTCAAATTCATGCATGAATCCATAATCTGTTATGTAATTTTCACACCAGCCTATACTAGAAGTGATCAAATGATGCAGGGCTGTATAGGGGCACGCCATTACAGTCCTATTTGCAGAACAACTAAAATACCACAAATGCAATATCAGAAGACAGATGTTTCTGCAATAGGATTATAGGCAAAGAAAATTATTTATTACATTACCTGCTATCATTCAATCACACAGCAAACAGAATGCAAAACCACTAACAAGAGATATGTACTGCAAATATTTAATATGCAAATACAGTAAAATACACAATATTTCTCCATAAAATGATACATAAGTATTTTATATTTGATCAGAGCCAATAAAAAAATTTAATGAGAAATAAATGCTTAGACAATGTCTTACTACATGCCATGAACAGGTTGACACGCTTACCTGGAGAGATTTGACACCATTGCAGCCTTTCTTCAATGTACCTGCTTGCAGCAACTGTCCAGCAAGAAACTCTGCTAGGAACTTCTGTTTCAGCTCCAGTTTGTTCTGCAGTGCTACCAACTGACTACACTCACTGGCAACCTACACCATTCACATACACAACATCCAGAAGCAGACGAAGCCAAAAACAAAATGCAACCACATAAAAACAAAATATTAATTCCACAGTGGTGTCTATAGTGCAGAGAGTTAAATATGGTCAGTTTATAATTCCTTCACAATGATCACAGAGGATTAATGCAATCCCGTATAACAAAACCATGACCTGAAATAACTTCATGGATTAAAACCAGTAAATGAAATATTATTTTGGGCAGGGCAGGTGAAACCAGTGGTGGAGAAGAGGAATGCATATAGAATATTGGTGGGAAAGCCAGAAGGATCGAGATGAACAATATTAAAATGGACCTTGGACAGATAGGATGGGGTGGTATGGACTGGATTGATCTGGCTCAGGATAAGGATCAGTGGAGGGCACTTGTGAACATGGTAATGAACCTTTAGATTCAATAAAATGCTGGGAATTTCTTGAGTAGCTGCGCAACTGGTGGCTTCTCGAGAAGGGCTCAGCTCCATGATGTTAATTAGTTAACTGAAATATTATTTGAAATAACTACTGTCACATGTTAGTGACAACATGGGGTTTCACTGATAACTGGATTTACTGAATGCTCATTACACTACAAACAACTATAGCAGTTTCTGTGATTCACGTACACTATAGATCACTATAACTACAGCACACATAATGTCTCCGGTTACTCTGTGGTCACTAATCATTGCTCAGTAGCAGTTGCTAACAATAAAACACAAAGACTACTAACTACCAATTCTGACCTTTGACTGAATGACTTTGAATTGGTGCTCATTATACAACTTCAGCACATACCACACAGAAACTACCACTGTCAACAATTCCTCTACTGTTACATGTTTATTCACTGCTGCAGAAACACGTTTATCATACCACTGCCTAGCAATGGCCACGTCTATTCATTCCAACATTCTGGCTTTCAGACTTCATGTTACAGTACTCTATTATCTGCCAGAGTGTGAATCCTTGATCTAAATTTCAGCACCCCACTTAAATCATAATTCCTAAACTCCTATACTATATATTATCATTTTAATTATACATATGTCACCACTCCTACTCATTACTAGTCGCTGAAATGTATTTCTACTTCTCTCGTTCTATCTTATGATCCTTCCCAATTTCTCTCTATATGTTATCATATATATATATATATATACCTGTTTTCTGCCAATGCTCTTCATTTTTACATCATACTATCCTCCTGATGCCTATTTCTGCATTGATATTCCTAACCTCTTGCGGAAAAGGCAATGTTATGTTCATGTACCTTTCGTGATGAGAAAAATTACATTTTTAGTGAATTTCTAATAATGTATTCAAATCTGAGAGTTTCAGACAGCTCTGGATATGGAGTATAACATGTCAATATACAGAGATCTTATACGCCACATCACTTGCCTCCTCCTTACCCTGCACTATAGACTACCATTACCACAGGGGGAAGGGTAACATGAAATAAACAAATTGAAATAAAACCTGGATGAGAGGCAGCTTGTAATGTGACATTAATTCACTCACCTGTGACAACTGAAGCTCTCGTTCACTTTCCAGCAGTTCTCTTTGCCGATGTAGCTCGCTTTCTCGGAGTTTCAACACTGCCAAGTTATCCTGCTGGTGTTGTTCAAGACGGCGCCAGTCCTGAGCAAGGCGTCTGCACTGTGCGGCATATTCTTGCTCCATATGTTGGCGTTCCTAACAGTCATCATTGTGGATCTGATACTGCTATACGTTCAAAACATGTTATTTATTTTTGTAGTTTGTAAGGATGTAATCATTACCAGGCTCATTTTTACAAAGTCCTCCCTAATTCTTTGCATTCGGTGAGTGAATTAGATCTGCTTGGGCATACTGCATTAGAAATGCTGCAAGCCAAAGAAACTGGCTAAATGTTAATGACTTAGATTTTTGGATTCTTTAGANGCAAATTGCAGCCGCGGCGCGCACTTGATTGTACGCACTGTATAATCTCATTATTCAGTACCTCCTCCAATTCACGCTGTGCAGCTTCCAAGGCTTCTCTCTTTTCCCGCTGTTCTCGCTCCCAATCCTGCTCACGTTCTGCTTGTTCCCGCTGTATAATTAAAGAAAAGTAACGTTTGTAATGAAGTCAGGTTCTTGAATATGTGGTCTATATTTGTACCTTATGTTGCAGGCCAACAATTTACATAATGAGCAGGTACAGAAAACTGTAAAATGAAGAAATATATATATAAGGTTGTAAATCTGCAGATAGCTGGCTAGAAACTTATCATGCAAACCCAATATCTAGTTGGTAGAAAAAATAAATACAAAACCTTTACTTTCCTTTTAATTTTTTCTTTTTCTGAAGGGCACATCACTCTAGTAACCTAAACTCTCTGTTCTAAAAGTTAATCAAAGATGAGCACTACACATTCTATGAACATCAGATTTACTCTACTTAGAAAATATAAAAATAAACATAAAATAAACAGTCGGGTAAAGCAACATTTGCTGTATGATTACTGAAATTTTCAACACACTATAATTCAATGTTTCTAAGCCAAACAAACGTCTTAGTTTGGAAGAAATTTCCATTATTTGGTAACATCACACAAATTACAATGATCAAAGTGACTCAGCAGCAGAAAACACAATAACGATAAGTTCTGGGAAGAACTAACTGCCTACTCTCCTTTGATACGACACAGACTATGCAGAAAATGACGTGTCCAATGGTTCTTTTATTGTTGTGCGTATTTGTCGCAGAGGGAATGTGTTCACCAAGCCACTGCCTAGCAATGACGAGGGAATACACATGCAAACATACAGACTGATGGAATTACGAAGTAGCCGTTGAGATGGGCTCAGGTGCCATGATATATGTACCAAGTTTCATAAAGACTGGTTTAGGCATTCAAAAGTTCAAAGGGTGGGGGGGTTACACAGAAACACAGACGGGATAAAGATCCTATAAGCCTACTTTAACTTTAAACAATAAGGAAAGCAGGCTAAAAATGACTAAAAAGTAATATTAGTTGCATGAAAATAGTCATAAACACATTGTTTTTGAGACTCAAATCAGACAACTCAGCTCTCAATTGAAGACTCTTCTTCACTTTGATCAATGTTGTTAATTCTCACAGTTCATTTCTGTAACAGCCATAGGATTATGTTCTTCTCACCTTGAATGCCTCCTTCTCCTTGAGCAAAGAAGCCCTTTGCTGTTCCAGCTCTTCCAGATACTCTGTGTCATCACTGTAATATATATCAGTAGACCATAAGACAGGATAATTTTAATGAAGTGCAACTTGGCTTCATGTAAAGTACCCACATACAAAAATTACATTTGCCCAGCAACTTACAGTGTGAACCTCAGTATCACCACCTCCTCCCTCTCCTACTCCTCCTAGAAGCAACACTTACCCACATGAAACATTGAGGTTTTCATTGGAGCACATAAGATCTGGTGTTGACCAACTTAGCAATGAAAGGCGAGAGAGATTTAGATGAGAGCGGCTACCTTCCTTTCTCAGTTCAGCAGCCTCGAAAGGATCATTGTAACGGAACATATTGGTGCGACCAAGGAGAATTAGGCACCCTGCAGCACATAACGATTACGGAACAATGACACAGTTCTAGTGTAAAATGTGTATTTTCATTTGCATGTGTATAGGAATTTTCATAACACAAAGATATGTCTTACCTCACCTCCTCAGCTTCATATGCATGCAATTTTTCATTTATTTTCATTACATTTCTCGTATGGAATTTTTTCCATAGACACATATAAGTTTACTGGAATACCTAAGTTCTGATCTTACAATACAATGGAATTGAAACACAGATCATCATTATGAAAGACTTTTAGTTTAATTTCAACAACCATAAACATCATTTTGTTTGTTAGCCTATTTCCCTTATTTTGAAAAAAATAAAATCAGGCTTATGAGATCACCTTGCTGTCTTTGTGTCTGTGTGTCTAAGTAACAGTGTATCTCCCACAGTCCCAATTAACTTTTGAATGCCTCCACCGATCTTTCTGAAACTTGATATATATATAATGGCACCTGAACCCATCAACAGTGAAAACTCACATCAACACAATAATTCTCAGCTCCTAGTGCCGTATGGTTCAAGACCATATTTTTCTGCCTCGTGACTCTGGCAATCATATAATTGACTAGTTGTTCCCATTGGTCCACACTATATAGCCTCAGCATGGGCTGCACAGAAGACACCATTTCCAACAGTCCTTCTACTGTTGCATGTGTATCTGTTGCTGTGGGAGCATGTTTACTGAGTTGTTGCCTAGCAATGGCTGCCTCTTCTGACTCTGCTATTCCGCCTTTGGCATCATGCCACAATATTATACTGTATATGATTATGAGTTACAAAAATAAATAAGCATTTTAATTAAATATTTAAACAATGACTGACAAATGAAATTCTTACATGACATTTGTTGATCTGTGATCATATTTATGTTTACCTTGTGACAGACGAGTAGGCTTATCAACGAGAACAGTGTTAACCCAGCACTGGGCCTGCTGTCGAGGAATAAGTGTTGCAACACCATCTTTCAGCATTACACTGCAATGTTCTGTTTCTATGCCAAGTCCATTGAGGACAATGTCTTGCTTTACCTCAGCATCTTCTGTCCCAATGAGAGTTTCCCCTTCCTGAAACACAGTCCCATCAGACTCATGTTATTTTCTGTGAGTTATTTTATGATGCTGTCAATACCTAGACTATATAGCAACAAAAGGTAGCAAACTTTCAATATTTCTCAAGCCCTGTATCACCTACCGCCTCACAATGATCCACTGTAAAAAAAATACAATAATGAAGAGTGCTATCTTCCGGGATATAATGCTGTGTAGTCCATTAAAAGTCAAGCAATGTTTCAGAGAAACAATGTCACCTCCATCTTCAGGGACAAGGAATAAGGCAAGCTAGATACCAGAGTGAAAGCAGGTGCTCAGCTTATTCTCTGACCCTGAAGATAGAACTGATGTGTTCCTCCAAAATGTCGCTCGACTTCCAACAGACTACACAATGTTATATTCCAGAAGATAGTACTCTTAATAAACACTGCTGTGAGAACTTCAGATCCTATATAAATACAATAATAACACAAAGTACAGTGAATTCATAAATGTTGTTCTTCATATGATATGTGATTATAACATAATGGAAAATTAATTTAAATGTAATTTCTGTTTCATTAGAAAGCTTAAGAAACTTACTTCTACTCTAAGGGAATAAAATCCTTAAAATCAAAGTGGAATTTGTGTCGTGATGAAAGATGACCATATAACAGTTAATTGCATGTAAGATTTGAGGCTTTCACGGCGGTGACTATGAAGAAAGCAGTCTTCTGGGATTTGGCACCGTGTATATGTGGTGTTAACCGACGCTTCGGAGGAACGTATCGCCCCCATCTTCAGGGTAGAAGAAAAAAAGTATAAGAAATCTGCAAGCGACAACCGTTTCTCATGGTGTTGTCGCTTGCAGATTTCTTATACTTTTTTTCTTCTACCCTGAAGATGGGGGCGATACGTTCCTCCGAAGCGTCGGTTAACACCACATATACACGGTGCCAAATCCCAGAAGACTGCTTTCTTCAGTTAATTGCATGTTTCCCCTTTCAAAAGTTCAGTCCATACACTTACTGAGTATCTCTCTTATGAAAAGTCCCTTTTGTCAAATCATTACATCATTATTATTTTAATTACAACATAAATAAAAGAGAGAAGCAAGAAATCAGTGATGACAAAACTTGCACTGTTGTGAACCTAACCTATACTGCCACAAACTGTACTTGGGACAGAATGGCTTGAATGTCACTATTAATTTACTATGAATCTTAACAACATGGATGTAGGTCATTTCCAATAATTGTATTTGTATTCCTGGCACAAGCTACAATTAGCAATTAGTGTAACTGCATCATATTGTCTATATGTTTACAGTACTTACCATATTAATTTAAAATTTTATGCAAGTATTCTAATATTAATTCAAAGATAAAAATAATTAGAAGCATCAGGTATTACCTTCAGATGGTACAAAGTAACACCTGTACTCAACACATCATCATCAATTCCAATAAGATGAGGCATATCCGAATCCAGCACAACCCCTTGGCCAGATTTACGCAGACCAAGTGCCTTCTGTTCTTGTAATATTTTCTGAGTTTCCCTCCACTTCTCTGTCCATTCCTCTGTAAGTACTTTCTCTTGTGCTTCTTTCTGGTGTAACTGTGCTAGAACCTGAGGCTGGGCTTCCATAGTCTGAAATGCAACAGCAAAGATTTAGCTCCACCCATACTATAATACTGAAAAAATATCTCAATCTTCTTTTCTATGCCTTTATATTTTGTATGTTATATCCCAAAAAGAAATACCAAATTACATTTGTAACATCTCCCGTTGTTCTTTCATGATCTTTCAAACATTAAAAGAAAATAAAATTGTATGTAACTGACTATATTTTCATAAGAAGAGACAGAACTGGACTGAAAAGTTTGTCATTTCACTAGTCTCTTTAACAGTCATATCGGTAAGATCACTTATATTCTTTTTGGGTTTGCTGCAAGCAACAAATTTAAAGTAAAAGATATGAGAAAATATGTTACACCATGACACACACATACAGAATGTTGGCATAAACATACTCACATATTCATTAGCTAAAAGAAGAGCTTTAAGTTTTGTTATTTCATCTCTCAGATCTCGGATTAGTTTCACATTAGGATCTTCATTGATGGTCGGTTTGTTTATAATGTTCTTTGCTCTGTTTGCATAACGAAGTGTACTTAAAGTTTCTCCATAATTACAATCAGCTGGTGAAATTGCTGCAACAGGCACATAAAAACACAAGCTACACTCATATTCATACTATGGTCTTCTGGCAAGTGGGGACCCAATATTTCACAGAAACATAATGCCTCCATTTTCTACATTGAAGACAGAGGCAGTACACTTTCACCACTGTGAAAACCCTGGACCTCACAAACCCATATTAATGGAACATTATTATCCCAAAAGCATCATTACTTCACATTTAATAAAATACAAAATGAAAATTGCCTCTCAGCATAAGCATGGTAAAATGAGGGAGTATGAGGGTGTGGAAGCAAGCCTATCAGATAGAAGTCAACAGTTATCACATGCTTTGCCAATTAGCTTCAATTATGCTTGAGATAATTTGTAAATTATGGAAAGATTTGACTAAGGTATCTCCCAAGGCTGCGCCATAGCTCAAGCGGTCAGTTGCTGGTTTCCCACCGCAGTGACCCTGGTTCAATCCCGGGTCTGGTCAAGTGGGATTTGTGGTGGACAAAATGGCGCTGGGGCGGGTCTTCTCCAAGTACTTCGGTTTCCCCTGCCAATCTTCATTCCACCAAATTCTCCATCATCATAATCACCCGGGACAGGCTACAATAGGCCAATCAGTGGCCACTGTGCCAAGTGAACCCAGTTGGACTCCACCCCCACTAAGCAAATTAAAAAAAAGAAAGGCATCTCCCAGAGAAATTTTTCTCACAATTCTCAAACAAATCAATACAGCAGAAGCTTTATACCAAACAATAAAATTAATTTCATAGTTCAAGTCTGCTAACTCTTTTCCAACTGACATCTCTCTCACCATCCCTCACAGTCCTCAGAATACAAGTTTCTGTAATCCTACTCTCCTCCACATAGCAAGTTACATAACCAATGAAAAATTCCATCTATGGTCCATGAGAAAGAGCCAACTGATTTTGGTGTGGCCATTTAAGAATGCAGGTACGAGGCTCGTCCAGAAAGTAAGTTTCCCTCGGGCCGTTTACAGAAACAAAACACAATTTCATGGAAATATTTATTGCAACAGATACAGCAAGTGTTCAAAAGTTGGCTGGCCCTGAAAAGGGCAGTTTGTTCCACTGTGAGTGCGCTGGCAGAATTTGCTCCTTTGTAGTAGACCAAGTATTTACAGCCGTTCAGCTGGTTTGTCCAGCTGGTGATGTGGTGCTGTGTGCGCCGGTAGGAACAGCTGCCTATGGTGCAGGTGATGACTGAGCAGTAGTCTTGGCTCGGTTGCTGGAGAGCTGCGGCAGCTACATTAGCTATCTGGTAGCAGAGCATGGTTGCTGGAGTTGTGGCAGCTACGTTAGCTGTCTGGTATCAGAGCGCGGTTGCTGGAGAGTTGCGGCAGCTGTCTTTGGCGCAGTGAAGAGCTGATGACTCTGATGACTGATTGCTCTGAACTGAATGTGATCACTGACAATTGCGAGCTTTGGGCCCCGCCTTTTATACCATGCTTGCTGGGCGGAGCTTAAACTTGCAGTTGCGACAGTGAGTGCTGTATAAATAAGAGCATTGGCAGCAATGTGATATTGACTAGGAGTTGAGTGCTGTCTGTTAGACCCGCAAAACCGTGTGTTAGTATGTGGGAGGTTCCCACAAGTCCATTGTTAAAATGAGTACAATAGTAGCAGTTATAAGACACAACCTTGTCAATAATTAACACTATGTAATCAATGACACTATTTGTATACTCTGCTAGTAACCCTAACCAAATTAATGTTTCTGTCTTTTTAATGAAACTGATTTCTACAAAGTATGCGTTTGTGGGAACTGCCCACAGTCAAGCAAGTGTGACAACGCAAACGTCATTGCTTAGCAACAACGAGTAAACAACGGTTGCTAGGCAATGACGTTTGCGTTGTCACACTTGCTTGACTGTGGGCAGTTCCCACACATTTAAATAAACCAGAATTACTCTTTTCTTATGTTAGTTCAATGCAAATCCTGTGCCTCTTACCATCATTATTGTCATTATCGGTTATTTTTATTGCTGTCATCACTATCATCATCACTGATGCGGTCGTGTTTGCAGTCATCATCTTCATTATTCCAATGTTAGGCCTAATATGCTTGCTATGGATATTACAAAGCAGAAGAATCATTCCAACCTTTGTGAGACCTCCTGTATCATCTTCCTTTGGGGTCAAAACTTTTAATTCTCTGTGGAGCCTATCAGAACTCATTTTGTTCTTTTGTAGCTAAAATGGATGACACTTCATGTGCAATGGTTTGAGCAGTGTGTGCTTAGCACAACGGAATGGAGGGACCCACACTGCCAAATCCAGTTCGGTCCTTGTACAAGATAGATATTAAGTTCAGAAACGAGAATGTCTGAATGCAGAAGTGTAACAGAGAAACCAATACCTGCTATCATTATGGTCTTAGAATTTCCACCAAGACTATCCCTTAGTAACCACGTGAGTACGGAGTCACGGTATGGAATGAAGGACCGTGATGCTCTCCGCTGGCCAGGGCCACTTTCCTTTTGTGAGCTTGACAACTCTGCCAGTGCTGAGATGACAGAGCCTAATGTTACTAGTGACTTGTTGATGTGTGCCCCTTCCTTCAATCTCTGTCCTGTTGCACCACTTGCATCAGCACGCTCGCTGGAATATGAGTTACAAAACAAAAGTCACATTAGACAAGACATCTTCATGAGAGTAACTTATTTCATTACAATCAGGGGGGGGGGGGGGAACATGTTATAAGAAAAGGTGTCTTCTAGAATACCGGATAATAGACAAAGTCCAAAAACCCAGTAATTCTGAGACTGTGGGCAGTTTTCAAGCATCATCTTCATACATTTTAGGAATGAAGGAGGTACATTAAATACAGTGCTATCATTTACAAGTGCCATTTCTGTGTAACAGAGGGACAAATACACACTCAAATGAAAATGTAATAAAGTATGATGGAAACCACATCTCAAATTAGACTACAAACCTTCCTGCCAAGTCCACCAGATGAACCTTAGATTCAGTTTCACTGGGCATGTTGTTGGAAAATCCAGCTTGAACAAACATGACTGTGAAGATGGCATGACTGCGGCTACTCACATCATTCATGTTTGTTGAAGCTGTGGTGCGGTGATTGTTCCCACGTACCATCAACTCCTACAACAGAAGATAAGTGTAACTCACAACGAATATTTTTAAGGTTGCATCCTGTTTCGTATATACAATGAACATATATATTTTTTACCGTCAATGCAACAATACTTTATTATAATATTCAGGTATTTATTCATGCTTCCTGCCTGACTGGCATTTACTATTTTTAAGGATTGCATATTGTTGCATATATACAATGAACATATATAATTTTTACCATCAATGCAACAATACTATGCATGCTATATAAATAAATAAATAAGTAATAAAGTATTGCTGTATTGATGGTAAAAATTATAAATGTTCACAACAGATAGTTTGTTCTTTACAGAATTCTTGTTCTATACCAAACGCCCCCTTACCTCCACCAGGGCATTATGTTGTGTAAACCTGAACAAGGTGTATTTAGAAATCTGATTCTCTTAAAACTGAAGAACACAGCTCTGATTATTGCTGGTGAATACGAAAATTCTGGCTCAAAAAATGTGAGCCCTTCAGATAGACCCCAAAATATAAATTGGCGATTTTCTCAAAAGATGCTTGAAACTAATAGATTACATTTCAGTAATTTATAGAGGCCATCTTTTTAAACAAAACTGCATAGGTGGTACCTTCAGGATAACAATAACATGTGCATTATGGGTCCAAAAGCAATATGCTTTATTTAATTGAAACTGGTTTTACTGGTTGGACGGATTTCACCGTTGTTCAGTATTCACAAAACAACAGTGGTCTACTAAGCAACAATCATTATGTTTCCAAGGTACTGTAGTCAAGGTCAATCATTTGTGAGGAAGTATGTGCAATATTTCTGAACTAATTTTTTGTTACTTTTTCATAATGCTATTAAAACAATATTCACAAAATTTACTAAGAACGGTATACTCACTTGTATGTCCGAATAATCAGTGACAAGATGTCTGGACAATCCCTGCACATATGGACCGCGGCGTGGATGTTCCCTTACACGCAAGCTGTGGTTTGTTGCACTTGGTTGCAATAGGTCTTTAACACGCTCATTATAAATTTCAAGGTAAGAAACTTCAGTACGATAGCTGGCACCTTCCTCCTTCCCTGCAGCCATGCGACTGAAGAGTGTCTTACAAATACGTGGAATTAAGCCTTGACATTCCTATTGGAAACAAAAGGAAATATTCATTTTCCACAATACAAACATCTTTCAATATTTTATTGAACACTCTACAATATCCCATATAAATCAATATGAACAGCCATAGAAAACCAACCAGAGACATACATTTTACCAATTTATGTTAGCCATTGTGATATCAGCTGCCAGATTTCCACAAAAAAAAACTTCTTAAAATAACCTGCTGACTTTTACAAAATTTATTCCATTCTGGATTTCCCACCTGGATACGACACTGTAAGTTCCTGAGAAATGTTTCTAAATGGCAGTAATTTATTTATAGCAAAATATCTCTGCATGTTGCAGGTTCTTGTGAACACAGTAATGAACCTTCAGTTTCCATTAAAAGCAGCAGATGTCTTGACTGGAGGAGCAACTATTGCCTCTCAAGAAAGAATCTGATCCATGGAATTAGTTAGGTTAACACCCAGTTATCTTCTACACATTAAAACCTCTTTACCATGAAAGTTTTTGCTACAGGCTTGCAAGACCTGACAGATCATTTCACAAAATTACAGAACATTTAACAGGAGACCCCTGTATCCAAGAAAATTTGAAAGTATCAAAATAAAATATTTATGATGTGAAACTGTCTGTTAACCTGTGTCATATTAAACTTAGAAGGTCCCCATATGAGGCGCTACCAGAGCATAACTCCAAACTTTCAGTATTACTTAAGTTAAAAATGTGATATAAAATAACATACATGTTATCACATCATAAATTATTTTTATCAGATATAACATAGGTGTGTCCTATGGGTATGAACTTCACATGGTATAGAACTGCAGAAATGCATTAAAACATAAATATACTCTCATGGCTGGGATAGCATGTTATGGATTATGTTGTGGTGTGCGACATACATACTTTCAATGCCTAATTTACACAGCCTAAATAACCCACAGCTTAGGACCTCATTTTGTAGGTCTCTCCCCCCCTCCCCCCACACAAGGAACTTTATATTTTCATTTTAAATAAATTATATCAAAGTTCTTAATTGCTCTTCATTCATTCATCAGTAATCTGTCAGACAACAGGTCCACAGTCTCTTCCAAAACAGTTCCTCCACTTAATGCAATCTCAGACTTTCTCCCCAAGGTGACCCAACATCTTCTTCGGTCTTCTTCCTCGTCTTCTGGGCACTTCTATCAGCCCTTCCGGTTTGTTTTGTCTCCAGAGGAAGACAAACAGCCGTTCAAACCACTCTGGTCACGCCTGTTGCTATACGAACTTGAACCATCTCGAGCATCATTTGCTCTGTACTTCAAGTCGCTACTGATGACGCTGCTTCCGGCATCAGTTTTTGGATTTTGATGTCCCTCTTCATCTGATGTGTACCCTTTGACCTGTCCAGCAAGGGAGGCCCTGCCAGTAGCTACGCTACCGCTGGTATAGCTCTCAGGGTCCTTGGCATACTCAAACCCCCTAACCACGATAAGGTGAGCTCTTATGTTAGTAAAAATAAATAAAAACAGAGATCAATAATAATGTACTACTATCAGTTACTGTAAAATTATTAGTTTTCCATTTTATCTTTGTCAGTGATCATTTGCTAAGTTTAAAACATCTATAGTTATATTTGCACTGTCCTCTCTATTAAGCCTTTTAAAGTTGAATTTCATCCAAATAATATTTAAAAGTTCAGTTCATACCTCACAACAAAAAAACTCACTCCATTATAAAGACCAACAGGTTAATGTTGTTTCAAGAAATAACTGCAATTTATTCTGAGAATCCTACAAAACCCATGACATTCCGTGATCAGAATGATCAGCTTTCTAATATGAATCAGGTGGTAAATTTATGCTAGAATTCACCGCGTTTAAAGGATTAAAATAAGAGTTTGCAGCCTGATACAGGCTGAGCCCCATCAAGTCTCATCCATCACTGTGTGTACTATTCAGATTTCCAGCTCTGTGTGACACAATTCAATTTTGCATTTCAATTGCTGACATTTTAACCTGGTGAGTTTATTTCTAGCATAAAACTTCCCTTATACAGGGCCTGTGTTAGAAGCATCTCGTTTTAAAGGAGCCAATTTGACTGTGCTTACAGCAGGTCTCCCTACATTGGTGACACAAAATTTCAATTCCTATACTCTGTTTTCAATCAGATCCTTGGACAAAAATCTCTGTCAAATAATGTGGTTCCACCAGTTGAGTGACATTTACCCAACCCCGATACAGCTTGTCAGAAAGAGAGTTCTCATTTCTCATAATTTCATAATGTTCATCTTTTTGTCATGTTCAGTCTATCACAGAAACAAAGACATTTCAGTACGTAACAGAATCTGTCATTGCAGAATTATCTGACAGCAGAACAGGTGTCTCTCGGGGATTCCCCTTTCACTATCATCAATCCATATTCCCGTACAGTGGCCAAATATCCATTTATTCCACCCTGTTTCTCCCAAACAGCATGTCACAGAAACAACTGTAAATACCAACCCCCTCCAAAAAAATGTTTCTCTTGGAGAGACAAAATGGGGAAATTCTTAATTTTGCTGTTACAAGAATGGGTTTGAGTCCCCATCAATTTCCTTCCCCATTCTTTCACAACAGAAACATCTAAACCAAGATGATGACAAACAAATATCCACAGTAACAAGGCAACTTCTGATAGTCACAAAATTGAGTCCAAGAAGCTTACTTACTTACTTACTTACTTACTCATGGAGCTCAGCCCTTCTGGAGGAGCCACCAATTCTACAGCTACTCAAGAATTTCCCAGCATTTTATGGAACCCGAAGGTTCATTACCGTGTTCACAAGAGCCCTCCACTGGTCCCTATCCTGAGCCAGATCTATCCAATCCATACCATCCCATCCTATATCTCCAAGATCCATTCTAATATTGTCCACCCACCTACACCTTGGTCTTCCCTGTGGTCTCTTTCCTTCTGGCTTTCCCACCAATATCCTATGCGCATTCCTCGTCGCCCCCATTCGTGCTACATTACCTGCCCACCTCATCCTCCTTGACTTGATCATTCTAATTAAATTTGGAGAAGAGCACAAGTTATGAAGCTCCTCATTATGCAGTTTTCTCCAAC